TCACAGCTAGAAGGACGCCGGTTCCAGCCTCGGCTGGGTCAGTTGGCGTTTCTGTGTGGAGTTTGCATGTTCTCCCTGGTTTCATCCGGGTGCTCCTGTTTCCCCCACAGTCCAAAGACATGTGGTACAGGTGAATCGGGTGTGCCAAATTTTCCATAGTGTATGAGTGTGTATGGATGTTTCCCAGAGATGGGTTGCGGCTGGAAGGCCATCCGCTGCATAAAACATATGCTGGATGAGTTGGCAGTTCATTCCGCTGTGGCGACCCCAGATTAATAAAGGGACTGAGCTGAAAAGAAATTGAATGAATGAATATACACTATAACTTTTGTGCTTTTTGTGATGTTTGTAATGTTTCCAGAATAGCAATATACTATTTATCTTGAACTAATATTATACTGTAGATGTTGATTTGGCTATGGTAAGTAACATAAAACTAATGAAAAAATAATTGAATATATTCTTTATGTCATCCCACCACAGACTAAACCAGGGATGGGCAAACTTGATCCTCGAGGGCCAGTGTCCCTGCAGAGTTTTGTTCCAACACTAGTCAAACACACCTGAACAAACTAATCAGTGTCTTCAAGATCACTTGAACTCTATAGGGAGGTCTGTTTGAATAGGGTTGGAGCTAAACTATGCAGGACACTGGCCCTCCAGAATCAAGTTTGCCCACACCTGGACTAAACCATGTGTTTGACTAATGATGATACAAATTTGTTCAACTATGCACTTCCATATGCTTTTACAATAAAAAAAACAAGGTTTTGACTTATTTTGTGGCAGGCAGGAACAGTAGATGTTTTTCTTTATGGTCCAAAACAAAATATTAGGCCTTAAAAAGTCTTAAATTCACATAAATATTGTGTTGTAGGTCTTAAATCATTTTAAACTGGTCTTAATTTTAAAAGACTCTCATTCAATCACCTACTACCCATCTAAATATTTTTATTTATAAATATTATTTATAATATTATATACAAAGAGATACAATTTACAGCACCTGTTGGACATTTTTACAGCAAATTCTCATAATTAAATTCCCTAATCAGTAAAAGAAAAGTAAAACAGCAATATATTCCTTATCATGAGCTTTCATTTACACAAAACTATTTACAGAAGTAGAGTAAGTTTACATAAAATTTATAAATAGGCATGAAACATAAGGTAATTTTATAACAGAAAAGCATTAGGTTAAGAAAAGGATATGCTCAACTAATTTAAACAAAAAGCAAATAAATATATGATTTTTCTTCAAAATAAATATACTTTTAGCAATGCTAAACTTGTCATAAAAAAAAAATCATGTTGAAACAATAGTGTACATATAACTATACCAACTAGACACATTAAGATATTTGATTAAGAAATACAATTTTTTTTTTTTTTTTTTCCAATTGCTTTTTTCCAACCGGGCTATCACAAAAAATCCTTAGGGTTTAACCCTGTATAAGCCTAAAATTTCATTCATAATGGTCTTATAAGGATCTTGTAAAGTCTTAAATTTGGCTCGATGAAACCTGCAGAAACCCTGGAAGGTTTTTTGTTTACAATTCTGTCATAGAAAAATGGATTAAGTTGTCAAGTACATTTTGGGTTTTCTGTGATCTCTAAATTGTATTGTCCTGTATTAATATACAGTTGTGAAAGAGGTCAATATTGAGGTTAATTTAAAAGCGTTTAAAGTTGTTTTAATATTGGACACATTGTTTGGCATCTTTTTTTAAACAATTGACTGAAATATTATCAAATGTGTTTAAAAATAATGCTTTGAAATGCCCATTCAATCATTCCTCTTCAATAATAAGTTCTTTCAGTATTCTTTTATAAACACATTATACAAGGAGCTGTTCATTTGGACTGTTAAGTTCTGGTTTCCTGCTTCCTGCGGGTCTCCACTGCATGAGAGAAATGCCTGTGATGTAATTTAGCAGCGCTAAGACGTCTTGAAGGTCTGTCGTGCAGCAGAAATGGAGGTTGCTGGGGATTCAGTGCTAAGGCCTGGCTTTCTGAAATGGAGAGAGACGGGTAGCACATACAGAGCCATAGCCACTAGCGCACAGAGGAGTTGCTAGGTAACAGGTAGCATACAGTTATGTAATGCGCCATGCTCCCAGTTTACATGCTTTGTATATGGAGTTCCTCCGGAGAGCTGGATCTCAGGCATGGGAAGATTCCCTTATTACAGCTACCAAGACCCGACAGATCATGTGTTCTCAGAGCTCCACATGCACTCTCACTTATGAGAAAAGATGACTGAGGAAGCTTTGGAAGCTACTTTTAACTGAAGAATTAAAAAATTTCAATTGCAAATTTTTATCTCTCAACCTTTGGAACATTGTGTATTTAGGTGTATTCAAGTGATTAGACTACAAGTTTCCCAGACTTTCAATATATCTTTTGTTTTTTGTTTGTTTGGTTTAGAGATAAATTGCAATACAAACCTACAATTTTAGGAAAGTTACAATGTTTACAGTTGAAACCCAGTATTTGTCATCAAATCAGAATCAGAATTGTGAGAAAAAGAGTTTAAATATAACAATACAGTTGTTGTTGTTTTTTTTTTTTTTGTAAATTGTATTGTGACAAACTCAGAGTTGCAAGATAAAAAAGTCAGATTTCTGAACTTTCTGTCATATTTCAGGCATTTTGATAAACTCAGTATTGTGACAAACTCAGATACAATGCAACAATACAGACTCAGTGTTCTGAGAAAAAAGTTAGTGTTTTACAGAACTGTGTAGTAAAAGTAAAAATTAGTTTATCGATCGGCTGTCACTCTGTGTGGGCAGAGTAATACAGAAGGGTGAGGAGCCTGTACGAGTTCTGATATTGCAGAATATTGCATGGCTATCAGCCATTGGTATTCGAGAACCAGACAGAAACTATTGTATACATATTAGCTTAAAGAGGATAATAAATTTTACTTTAAATTTTGAAAATGGTGTTTAAAAAATTAAAAAACTGCTTTTATTCTAGCCAGAAAAAAAAAAATCAAATAAGACTTTCTCCAGAAGAAAAAATATCAAAAATACTGTCAAAATTTCCTCGTTCTGTCTTTGAACCTAGAGTATAGTTTCTGAGTTCTAATTATTATAAAGTATAAGCAAACTGATATCAGTATAGTAAGACATCATGATAGCTTGCTGTGTAGCTTTCTTTGTACATTTTCACAAGTCATGTCAGAGCAATCATTAATATTCAACACCAATTCAAATATGGTCAATTATGAACCTTCACATCATTTGAGAAATATTTAAAAAAGAAAAAAAAATCAAAGGGAGGCTAATAATTCTGACTTCAACTATATATATATATATATATATATATATATATATATGTATATAAATAGGTATATTCCTCCTGATGCTCCGGTTTCCCCCACAGTCCAAATACATGCGGTACAGGTGAATTGGGTAGGCTAAATTGTCTGTAGTGTAGGTTTTTGTGTGTGTGTATGTGTGGATGTTTCCCAGAGATGGGTTGCGGCTGGAAGGGGATCCGCTGCGTAAAAAAAATGTGCTGGATAAGTTGGTGGTTTATTCCGCTGTGGCGACCCCGGATTAATAAAGGGACTAAGCCGACAAGAAAATGAATGAATGAATGAATTTATATCAATTGGGGTGATTTTATAAGGGTGTGAATCATGTATAAAAATAATAAAACAATTGCCACCAAGAATATTTACTATAGAGCAAAAAAAAAAAAAGTTAAATAAACAGTGTTTCATGCTTTTCATGCTTTTTACTCCATTTCTGGAGTAAAAATGTATTCAACTACAGAAATGGAATAATAAAATGTCAAATAAAACTGTACAGTCTGCATTATATTGATAATTCAGTACATTTATTCTTCATAAAAGTTACAAATGCTGTTCATTATTCTTACATTAATAATGTACATTGCATTATTGTTATTTCCATTCAGAGTCAAAGAAAATAAAATCATTTTAAAAAGTCACTTCCTATTTAACTGGTGCAAAATAACAACAGTTAAAACGGAGTTTGCTGCAGTAAGAGAAGCTGCATCAGTCTTTTGCTTATTTAATAAATGACTTACGCCTCAGAAGACGATGCCGACATGCAATGAATGTGTGGTGGCATTTGAAGGCATGAGACGTGGAGCACAGACGCTCTTGACAGTTTCTGGAGGTAATTGATAATATACTAACACTAATACTGAAATGGTTAAGGCGTTTTAGAATGACCAAAACAACATTTCAGATGTTTCACAATGTTCTCAGCCTGCTGGTTTGTACATTCTCACACATTTCTACCATCACATGATCTATTATAGCAAAGACCTTTTTTAATGTGCATACTGGAATTTGTTCGGTAAAAGTGTTTCCATCGTACTTCATGCGCATATTTTCTTATAGAATAAAAAGTTTATCCTAGTTATTTATGTACATATGTTTTGTTATGCGCATTTTCAAAACTTATGCGCACTATGGTGTTTTCATCAACCATTTTTTTATGTGCATATCCAAACTGCGTATAAAATGGCTAAATGAAAACATACTGAAGCTATTGACATTCATATATAAAAACTATATATATAATGGAATTAGTAGATGTTTTTGCTTTAGAATATCTTGTTTTACGTTAGATAGATGTAAGACACTCGAACAGGTTTGGAATAAGTGTGGAGGTGGGTGAGCAAATGATTGTAGGATTTTCATTTTTGATTGAACTTTCCCTTTAAGTCTAATTCTGAGAGAAATAATTTTGTTTTATTTTCTTTTAGTTGAAAGCTTACATTATATATTTCTGATTTATGACTATAATTCAGAATAAAGTCATAATTGTGAGAGTTGCATTTACTTTTTTATTTAGTGTTGGAAACAACGTTCAATTCAAACTGCAATGGACATTTTTTGTTTGATTGTTTATTTTATGACTGTTCATTAAAGAATGCTGGTTCATATTACATCCACCAGTCTAGCAATGTGGTGCAGTATTGTTGATAACGTGCATTTCCGTCTGTCTGTATTGCAGTATTATTTCACAGTCAGCTTCAACCATGAGAATCAGAAGGCCCTGGAGCTTCGCACAGAAGATGTTAAGGACTGCGATGAATGGGTGGCAGCAATATCACATGCCAGGTAAATGAACTCATCTTCAGAATTATAAATTTGTTATGTTTGTCCTTGGTGTGGCATGTTTTGGTTGCAAATATACTAGGTGCTATTCAGATTTTATTAAATGCACATTTACAACACATTTCTGTAAAATCATTCCTTATTCCTAGAATTTCTCCTCCTTTATTTGAGTTGTGCTTAAAGATATGTTGAGTCAGAACAAGCAGATTGTCATAATGGCATGAATCTGTGCTTTATTTTATATGCTCCATATACAGTTCAAATGTGAGTGGGGGGAAATGAATACTGAGGATTTTCTTTTTCCTTTTTTTTTTTTTTTTTTTTTTTGCGTAGTGGACAGATTCCATGTCTCATTATCTATAATTAGCCTGAAGCTTGTTTAAGCAGTCTTGGATGTTGCAGAGGTTCTGTTGGGAATATTGTTTATTTTTAGTAATGAACTTTGCATTTGAATTCTCTGTTGGGAACTAGCAAACAAAGCACAACATGTTTTGTCTTAAATAACAAAGAGCTGTAATCAAGTCAAGGATGTGTTTTCTTATGTTTTTTTGTTTGCTCATGTTCATCTGAGAGTAAAGGCAAAATGGTTGACCCTATTAAGAGAAAATATTTTTTTACATACAATTTATAGTATATCTGTTTAAAAGAAATGTGTAGATGTGTGTAAGCGATATCTATGGTTAAAGAATATTTGTGCAATGCATTTTTGTGTTAACAGGTTGGAAAAGATCAGAAAGTGACTTGTAGTTTCATAGATTACTGCTTGCATCAATAGTTTAAGAGGTTTTATGTCTTCAGCTTTTGAGATAATAGCCTTGTTGCATGAACTGACATAATGATGGTCAAATGAGTATTATTTATCACTTCTTTTAAAACAGTTAAAAATTTCTATTAATGGCACAAAAATACAATGTGCAATTTTTGCATGATATTATCTAAAACGACGAGTAGTGTTATACATTCTGCATATATATATATATATATATATATATATATATATATATATATATATATATATATATATATATATATATATATATATATATATATATACTTATATATTTACCATTACAGTGAAATAAAATAGTGTGAATTAAATCATACGATTAATGTATACCTGTGATAAATTCTCATAAACTTCACCATTTTGTCATTTATTATTATGGAGCTTAATTTTCTTTGAACCTACAGTATAGTTTCTGAGTTCTGATAATAGCATAGTATGAGCAAACTGACATTGGTATAATAATACATTAATAAGTCATTAATAAGACATCCAATCATGGATAGCTTGCTGTATAGTTTATTTTGTACATTTTCACAAGTCACGTCAGAGCAGAGCTTATTAAACTTCACAGCCAATCCAAATATGGTCAATTATGATTCTATGGGGCATTGTACGGAATAATAAATGAGCATGTAAAACTATTACTGGAAATTTTATGTTTATTTACCTATGCCATAAACCTACTATGTAGGTATCAGAGAACAATTGAACTTATTGAACCAATACAGTTTATGGGACCTTTAACCAAAATATTTGTATTTAATTTATACAATTAAGACTCCTCTGTTGCTTCACAGCAAGAATGCTGGTTTGAGTCCCAGTTGGGCCAGGAATCCATATTCGAGTTCTTCCCATGTGGATTTCCTCTGGGCACTCCAGTTCCCCAGTCAAAAGTCATGCAGTATAGATGCAGTAAAGTGAATGCATGAGGGTGTGTATGGGTGTTTTTCCAGCACTGGGTTGCTGCTGGAAGGGCATTCACAGCATAAAACATATACATGTAACATCTGGATGGGAGACCACATGGGAAAACTAGATTGCTGTTGGAAGTGGTGGTCACTCTGTGGTCTGTGTGGGTCCTATTACTACTATTAAGACACTATATGAAGTGTTCAGGTGCAAAAGCCACTTTCGCCAAAAGTTTGATAACATTGAGTGAATGCTTAAGGCACATAGTACATGTTTAACAAATATTTTTGCTTCTAATCATCTGAATCCCAGCACTCAGAAATAACAGTTTGTTTCCAAAAGCCTCTTAATGACAGCAAAGGCCGCTATGTCCCTCCCTAGAACTAATCAGAAAGCACAAATCGAATCATATGTTTTTAATGTACTGGCGCTGTATAATATAAGCCAGCTTTTTTTAAGGAGAGTGTTTTATTCTGATTTAGATTTAGATTTTGAAAGATGGAGTTTAATGAATTGGATGATCCTGTTCGATTCACTAAATGACAAATGAAAACATCCCTTACCTCAAAACTCTGTCTATATTAATGGACAATGCACAGATATTGATGTTTCACAATGTTTTTTCACTGCATTATTTAAATAAAAAAGGCAAGGCAAGGCAAGGCAAGGCAAGGCAAGTTTATTTATATAGCACATTTCATACACAGTGGCAATTCAAAGTGCTTTACATAAACAAGAATAAAAGAAACAAGTAAAACATTTTTTTTTTAAATAATAAAACTGATAAAAAAATAAAAACAAGTAAAATGTGATATAAAAGAATGAAGAAGAAGAGAAAAACATAATAGCGCAATCTGTCGGACGCAGCACAGTGCTCATACAGTAAAGGCACAGGTAAACAGATGTGTTTTCAGTCTTGATTTGAATGTGCCTAATGTTGGAGCACATCTGATCATTTCTGGAAGCTGATTCCAGCAGCAGGGGGCATAGTGGCTGAAGGCAGATTCACCTTGCTTTGACTGAACTCTTGGAACTTCTAGTTTATATGATCCTAATGATCTGAGTGATCTGTTGGGTTTGTATTCAGTGAACATATCTGTAATGTATTGAGGTCCTAGGCCATTTAGTGATTTATAGACCAGTAATAATACTTTAAAATCTATTCTGAATGTAACTGGGAGCCAGTGTAGAGACCTGAGGACAGGTGTGATGTGCTCTGATTTTCTGGTTCTGGTCAGAATTCTGGCTGCAGCGTTCTGGATGACCTGCAACTGTCTGACTGTCTTTTTAGGAAGGCCAGTGAGGAGGCCGTTACAGTAATCCACCCTGCTGCTGATAAAAGCATGAACAGGTTTCTCTAAATCATCACTGGAAACAAAGCATCTGATTCTTGCTATGTTTTTAAGATGGAAGTATGCTGATTTACTGACTGCTTTGAGATGACTATTGAAACTCAGATCTGACTCCAGAGTCACACCAAGATTCTTGACCTTATTCTTTGTTGTTTGACCCTTAGTGCTAAGGTATGCATTTACCTTGTGAACCTCATCTCTGTTCCCAAACGCAATCATTTCTGTTTTGTCTTTGTTTAACTGAAGAAAGTTTTGGCACATCCAACTGTTAATTTCATCAATGCATTGGCAGAGGGTGTCAATGGGGCTGTAGTCATTAGGCAGTAAGGCTAGGTAGATCTGAGTGTCATCAGCATAGCTGTGGTAGGAGATTTGGTTCTTTCTCATTATTTGGCTCAGAGAGAGCATGTAAAGGTTAAACAGGAGAGGTGCCAGAATCGAACCTTGTGGGACTCCACATGTCATGGGTGTCCACCTCGACCTGTGGTCACCTATACTGACATGGTAACCTCTACCTTCAAGGTAAGATCTAAACCATTTGAGGACCGTGCCAGACAGCCCAACCCAGTTTTCCAGCCTATCCAGAAGTATGCTTTGATCGACAGTGTCAAATGCAGCACTGAGATCGAGCAATACCAGCACTGTTAGCTTGCCTGAATCTGTATTTAGGCGTATATCATTGATTATCTTTATAAGAGCACTCTCTGTACTGTGATGTGCTCTAAACCCAGATTGAAAATTGTCTAAACACCCCTTTAAGTTTCAGAACTTGTTGACCTGGTTAAGAACAACTTTTTCAATGACTTTGCCAATGAAAGGGAGATTTGAGATTGGCCTGTAATTGCTCAATAGGGTGTTATCCAGGTTGCTCTTCTTCAAGAGGGGTTTAACAACTGCAGTTTTAAGTGAGTTTGGAAAAATCCCTGAAATAAGTGAAGCATTTACCACTTTTAGAAGATCCATTTCTAAACAGGTAAACACCGTTTTGAAGAATGATGTGGGGAGTATGTCAAGACTGCAGGTTGATGTTTTCATAGCTTGCACAGTCTCTTCTAAGATTTATTTAAAAAGCTTAGTTTACAATGTTTACATTTTTCTACTTGTATTAAATCTAAATCCCAAATATCAGAAATGACAACAGATTGTTAAGATTTATTAATGTTAATGTTTTTAATGTTATCGGTTAATGCACTTACTTGACATATTTCATTCATTCATTTTCCTTCTGCTTAGTCCACGGTTTGTCAGGGGTTAACACAGCGGAATGAACAGCCACTTACTTGACAAATGTATATTTTTTTAAATTTCAGGAGCTTTGTGTAATGTGATTTATGTCTGGTAAAATAATTTCTAATTGCAACTTTAGTGATTTTTCAACTAATTACATTGTCTTGTCCAAACAGGTGAATTTAGAGGTTTTTGCAAAAAAAAATTAAAAAGAAAAAAAAGCAGAAGTGGATTTAGCTGATTTTGATGCAAAAGAAAATCTACTTCCTTGAAACCCAAAGAATTGTCAAAAGTGATATTTAAAAAAAGCTATTTTATTTAGTAGCTAATAACCTTTTCATTATCTATAAAATGAAAGTTTTGAACCTAATTATAGGAGCCTGATAGAAAACGCTCATTTACAAAAAAGAGGTCTGATGGATTGAAAGGTTTTTGCATCTCAACTCTTCATATACAGTACAACTGAGTTGTTTATTGCCCCTTTGATTTGCAGTATAATATTACAAAAGATTTATATTTTATGTAGGCTTTTGTATTTTTTAAATAAGTGCTTGTCTTACCTTTCTAATAACCAAACCTAGTAAAGGTAGTTTGTGTTTTCAACATAACTAAACAGTAACTGTTTGAAACATTGATGATAATTTCTTAAACATCAAATGAGCATATTAGATGACTCATGGGTTATCAAATGAACATTTAGGTTTGCCATAAATATACTGTGTTAAAGAAAAAAAGGCAAACATTGAAGAGCACAACGACCTTAAATGTATGGATGGTAGCTCGTAGTCTATATGTTTAGTTTTGTGATTTGGATAACAAAATAATAAAAAAAGTAATTAATAATTTTAAACCCAGACACACAGGAGTTTTGCAGCTCTAGTAATACCCACTCTTTCATAATCAGAAGCTGTGGTTTATTTTTCTTCAGAAGCGATTGTGCGATTGCCGTGAGGGCGGCTGGTGCTCCGTACTGGTCTCAGTCTGTACTGGAGGACTATTTTGGCTGTTTATCTCTGGATGCCCTGCAGCAGTGCTAAATCTGTGTGCATAAACATGAAGGCGTCTGGATTTGCTTGCTGTTTTGAGATAAGCGCTGCTCCAACAATTCTGTTTAATTGTTGAATTTGAGCATTCACAGTTTGCTCTGATAACGTGTGTGCTTATGGGGTTACGTGTTAACACTCTGCCTTTGCTAATGAGCTTTATTTCTAGTATAACGTGATGTTCTTCATTGTGTGGAGTGTGCATGCGATGTGTGTGTGTGTTTATTCATATATGTGTGTTTTGTGCGCAGCTACAGAAACCTGGCCACCGAGCATGAAACGCTCATGCAGAAGTACCTCCATCTACTCCAAATCGTGGAGACCGAGAAAACAGTTGCTAAGCAACTTCGACAACAGATAGAAGATGGGGAGATTGAGATTGAACGTCTAAAATCAGAGGTAAAATTTGTAATTCAAAGTGCTGTGGGGATTGTTTATCTGTAGTGAACATGCCAAAATCCAGTCACCTCTAGCAGCGTTTTTACTGCATGTCATGGTGATTCTGTCTCTCGGAAGTGTTTATAAGACTAAATACATGTATTGACAAAATCAGCTAGTCAGTGCATTGATTGAACTGCTAGGCATGTATGCATATTTTAGGTTGACTCTGATTGTGTTTTATAGGGGATGATTATATAAGATGTGTTTACACAACAGTGTACAAAAAAAAACACAGGCTAATACTATTATTGTATTCTATTTTTAAGTGAAAAATGCACAAAAGAATGGAAGGGAACGTAGTGAATGGTCTATTACTAGATTTATGAATAAATCAACGAAATATAAACAATTGGATCATAAACACATGTATCGATATACACTTGAAACTATTAGAATTGGGGAAAAATCCCAAATTCATTTGCATCACTTAAGTATAAAAATAATAGTACATATTGTAATCACTGCTAAGACATAAACATGTATATTAGAACTGTACAGTTCATAAATACTTTGTTTTGGATATACTGTAGCGGCATTTTATTGCAGCTATTGTTGGTAGAATGAGCAAGTTTTTACGCGTAAAAGTCAGAGTCCGTAGGCAAAACAGATGCAAATAAAAACGTCTTTATTTTCCAATAAACAGTATTCCTTTATCAATTTTCCTTCACATATAATGTACACTTCTCTGTTACCTTAAGTTTTGTTATGGTCAGAGTAAAAAAATAAAATAAAAATATATAAAAGTAAAAAAAATGTGTGCTTCCTAGCAATGCTTTCTTCCTCCATGCAGTGAAGCCACAGTTATATAGTCTTGTACTGACACCTTGTGTCCAATTGCCAATATATAATGTATGGCTCCTACATATACACTCGCACTTTATTGACCTTATTCTAAAATGCGGAAGTGCGCCTGTTTTCGCGATTGTTTTAGAACTTCCGATTCAGTTGCCTATGGGAGAAATGACTTGGAATAATAAATGGCAGAAAACGGTCAAACTACTTGCTTTACAAACAAATGTTTGCATGACTATACAGACCAAGTAGAATAATATAATAAGGAAATATCCGTTTTTATCGTCTAAAAATGAATGGAAGTGAATGAGACCGGAAGTCTCAAGCCAAAAAGATGCACATTGATGCACCAGCGAAGAATAAAGTGAATTAGGTACATCTGTCCAACTGTTGTTAATGCAAATTTCTAATCAACCAATCACATGGCAGTAACTGGATGCATTTAGGCATGTAGACATGGTCAAGACGATCTGCTGTAGTTCAAAGCGTCATCAGAATAGGGAAGTGGGAAAGGTGATTTAAGTGACTGAACATGGCATGGTTGTTGGTGCCAGATGGGCTGGTCTGAATATTTCAGTAATTGCTGATCTACTGGGATTTTCACTCACAGCCATCGCCAGGGTTTACCGAAAATAATCAGAAAAACAAAACATATCCAGTAAACAGCAGTTCTGTGGTCACAAATGCCTTGTTGATGCCAGAGGTCAGAGGAGAATGGCCAGACTGGTTCAAGCTGATAGAAAGGCAACAGTACCTCAAATACCCACTCGTTACAATCGAGGTAGGCAGAAGATCATCCCTGAACACACAACTCGTCCAACCTTGAGGCAGATGGGCTACAGCAGCAGAAGACCACACCCGGCACAACTGCAGTCAGCTAAATATTTTAAAATGGACATCCTCTTTACAAATAAACTGCATAGATAAAAAAACTACATTCTTGCTTAAATAAAAAGTACATTATGTTGTCCAACAGCTGCAATATTTGTCAAACTGTAGTAAGTTTATTGATCTGCTGTCACTCTATGTGGGCGAGGAATACAGAAGGGTGAGTAGGCTACACGAGTGCTGTTATTGCACGACTATCAACCGATCAGATTTGAGAACCAGACAGAATATTATGTTCATGTGATACATAGAAAGAAAACTATACAATTTGCTTACATAACTATTTAAAAGTATATGTAGTTTGTATCATATACATATATTTTGTATATTTAAATAAACATAAATACACATTTTCTCAAATGCATGCATGTCTGTATTTATACATAAATATTATACACATAACACACACATAAATTATGTCAAAGCAAACTTTTATTTTGGATGCAATTAATCATGGATAATTTTTTGCCCAGCACTAATAATTATGCATAATTTATTGTAGTGCATGTAACAGATAAATACATAACCTTAAATTAAAGTTTTACCTATTGCCTATTGTTCAGTTTTCACTACACATTTGGATTATTTGAGGCTCAGGCTTAATAACAGCAATAATAATTTAAAATTAAAATTATATTTAAATAGAGTGTACACTAAATATACAAAAAAAACATGTCTGTCCCTACAAACAGCTAGTCATTTGTTGGATGACTAGTCGATCATCGTGACCTATATTACACACTCATCTCTTTTCTGTAAAGCAAAACGGCGTAGAGAATAAAAAGTGGTGTAAGAAGCATTTGGTTTTCAAGAGCTTTCTCCAGACTACTTTGCACTTCACTTTGCATCTCTGCTCATAAAAAAACGGCTCTCCAGGAGAACTATGATCCCTGCTGTATTCTTCATCAACCAGATCAAATAGTCATTTTACTTTAAAGTGCAAATGGAGCTGGCTCTATGAAATGGTGTGCTGAATATGCATGACCCCAGATGCATTGTGTGCGTCGCATCCTTGGTCTGCAAGCATAATAAACTCTTTCAGTCCGCATCCCATAAATGCAGCACTCACCTTCAGACTGTGCTGGCCAGCTCCCGTCTCCTTTGTGTCCCCAGCGTTTCTCTTTTAAACTGCACGGTCATTTTAATCATTTGAAAGTTAGTGCACCCTGAGTATCAAAAATCATCCGAGTGGCATCTGAGCTTTGATAGGGCGACTGTTTGTGCGCTGGCACTGATTTGGTCAGACTCAATCACTTTGTCAGCATGCTAGGAAGTAACTTGTTTTTTTTTTTTTCTAAGGAAGTGTTGACTCTGCCATTTTTATTACTGTTTTGTTGCAGATTGCAGCAATGCTCAAAGACAATGAAAAGATTCAGTCAAGTCCCACCACAGCACCCAGCGATGATGATTCGGAGATCAAGAAAATCAAGAAAGTAAGGCTGAGCTTTTTACAAATGTAGCATCGCAACTGTCATTATAAGTGTTTAAACATGCTCATTATCAGTGTTGGGTAAGTTACTTTAATAAATGAAAGAATCACTAATTACATCATTAGCATTGTATTTAAATTACTTTTGTGATTATTTTGTCTGAAAGTAACTTTAACAGAGAGTCTGAAAGTTACTCAATAAGTAATTGCATTACTTGATTTAATGCTAAAACTGCACATAAATCTCAATGTATAGAAAAAACAGTTGAAGTCAGAATAATTAGCCCCCCGAATTTTTAGTCCCCTGTATATTTTTTTTAACAATTCCTGTTTAACAGAGAGATTTTTTCAACACGTTTCTAAACACAACAGTTTTAATAACTCATTTCTAATAACTGATTTATTTTATCTTTGCCATGATGACAGTAAATAATATTTTGCTAGACATTTTTCAAGACACTTCTATACAGCTTAAAGGGACATTTAAAGGCTTAACTAGGTTAGTTAAGTGAACTAGGCAGGTTAGGGTTATTACGCAAGTTATTGAATAATGATGGTTTGTTCTGTAGACAATCGAAAAAGCTTAAAGGGGCTAATAATTTTGACCTTAAAAATGTTTTTTTTTTTTAATAAAAACTGATTTTTTCAAACTTAATATAAACAAATATAAATCTATTGTTTTGATGAATGATAAATGTTATTTAATTGAAAAAAATAATTATTTAGCAATATATATATATATATCACTTTGTTTCTTTGAATTGATACATGCAGAACGGTTAACTATACAGGCAGTGTTTAAGCTATACATAATAAAGTAACTCTTAAAATTTCCTAAAAATGTAAAGTAATCCCTTTTTAGCAGAAAAGTTATTTAATTATGGGAACTTAATAACTTGTAAACTTAAATACTTCGTACACTCAGCACTGCTCATTATTTATATAAATAATATTATTTTGTCTTGTGGGAACATCAGTATGTGACATTTGTGAAGTTTTTCAGGGCAGAACTAACTAAATAATGTGTGTGCTTGTGTGCAAGTTGTATGTAAATGCATGACCTCGACTCTTTGTTGGATGAAAGTGTCAATATGTATTTATCAAGTATTTATTTTCAGCACAGACAGTCGATTACTTGTATTGAATATATAGTTTAGAACTATTTATAACCAGTTTATCTTACTCTGATTTCCAACTGTTTTTTTTTTTTTGTCTGTTTTACTGAGCTTACTGAGTTCATTAATTTAATGAAACTCAGGTCAAAGACAAAACATTACATTTTGATGCTTGCACTAAAGTGCCATGAAATGGAAAACATGTTAAATGCCAAAATGTTACATAACTTGTTACAAACTGGGTGATTTTGTGTGAGAAGTGAAATATAAGGTGCACATACAAAACCCAGCATTTACAGATTTTAATGAACAAACAAAGCAAAGCAAGGGAAATCACAAGGGTAACACATAACACTACTGGGCTATATATGGTGAGGGAATGGTGAGTCAAATAACAAATGAATAGGATTGTAAATAACCAAAGCAACTAACATAGATGGCCAGAAAGAGCTGACAGGGTGTGACATAAGGTAACACAGATATAAACACAGGGACAAGACAGGGACTATTACAGTATGCTTAATTAGACATGTAAAAAGCAATAATGTCAAAATTGATTAAATTTTATATAACAAAAATTTCTGTTAAATTGAAAAAAAAACAGAGGTTTGAAGGATAGTGGTAAAGTAAAATGATGCAAAATTATTATTAACCAGTATTTTTTGGTTGTACTGTGATCCATAAATAGAGCCTTTTAATATGCCATTATATTATGCTTGTAGTAAATATGCCTGACAATATTTTTTGGCTTATACACTGTGTAAGTGTTACACAGAATGACATTTTAGTGGGTGTCTTCTGTCAATCATGGTGCAAATGTGTAATAGTAATTATGCCTCATTCTAAAATAATATATTATAAAATGAAGAAAAAAATGTAAAGCTGTCACCTGAAAAGCCATTTTTGTCTTTGACCCATATTCAGCAGAATAAATAAAAGGTCTTAGATCACACATTTTTGTTCACAAATCTCAACATAAAAAAAATTTGGATAGATATTCTTGTCAGCTGCGGACAATCAGTATGTTTAAGAGCAGTGTAATCCATTGAACACATTTTTCTCCTGGGTCAGAAATTACCAGGGACTTGTGAGGAAACAATTGTACCAAAATGAAAAATATGCCTCAGAAAATTTAAATTAAGGTGCAAAATAAATAAATAAATAAATGCCTCATGCCTACTATTAATAGTTTATTACAACTGTCTTATTAAGTAGTCTTTATAAAAGTGAACACTCACTCACACTTGCTTAGTCTTTGATTTATCAGGGGTCACCACAGTGGAATGAACTACCAATTAAATGTGAAACAAACTGAATGAAATCAACCCTGTTCTATTTGAGTTTTCTCGCCCTATTTTTCACACCTCGACTAATGCCTATATGATTGGTCAAGATTCATTTTTAATGAGTTGTCCATGTATACACAGTAATAATTTGCTGATTGAACTGACTGAATTTTTATCCCTTCTTTGCTTCAGGTGCAAAGCTTCCTGAGAGGCTGGATGTGTCGGCGGAAGTGGAAGACCATCATTCAGGACTACATCCGTTCTCCACATGCCGAGAGCATGAGGAAGAGAAACCAGGTGGTCTTTAGCATGCTGGAGGCGGAGGCTGAGTACGTCCAGCAGCTCCACATCCTTGTCAACAACTTCTTGAGACCGCTGCGCATGGCTGCCAGCTCCAAAAAGCCACCCATAACCCACGATGATGTCAGCAGCATATTCCTCAACAGGTAAAAACCAGCTTCACATGGAAATTACACTCATTCTTAGCAGGAATTAAAGATCCCTTCAAAATTGTTGCTTCTGAGCAGTCATGACAAGTTCACCCAAATATTAAAATTCCATCGTACTTTACTTACACTTTTCTATCTTTTTGAATCCATTATTAATTCCTTTCTTCTGTTGTTTTGAAAAAAGATATTTTGAACAATGATGTTTTGAAACCTGTAACCATTGACTTTCTTTAGTATTTGTTTTTCTTACTATGGATTCCGATGGTGACAGGTTTTCATCTTTGTTCAAAATATCTTCTTTTATGTTCAACAGAGAAACAATGTAATAAAGGTTTGAAATAAGTAAAGGGTGAGTAAGACCCAATCCCAGTTCTACCCTTTAGCCCTTCCTCTTACCCTTACCCCTCGTTTTGCGTGCTTGTGTGAAGGGGTAGGGGTGTCCCATATCTCTTTAGTTTTAAGGCGAAGGGCTAACGGAAAGCGCGAACTAACCCTTGAAACTTAGATTTTTCAGGACCACATTTGATAACAATAGATAAGAAAATTTCCTAGAATACACCAGCTACGAGGAAAAGCAGTGGCGCAGTGGCGCAGTAGGTAGTGCTGCCGCCTCACAGCAAGAAGGTCGCTGGGTCGCTGGTTCGATCCTCGACTCAGTTGGCGTTTCTGTGTGGAGTTTGCATGTTCTCCCTGCCTTCACGTGGGTTTCCTACGGGTGCTCCGGTTTCCCCTACAGTCCAAAGACATGCGGTACAGGTGAATTGGGTAGGCTAAATTGTCAGAGAGTGTGTATGGATGTTTCCCAGAGATGGGTTGCGGCTGGAAGGGCATCCGCTGCGCAAAAACTTGCTGGATAAGTTGGCGGTTCTTTCCGCTGTGGCTACCCCTGATTAATAAAGAGACTAAGCCGACAAGAAAATGAATGAATTAACGCCAGCTACGACAGCAGCACACGAAAGTCAGGAGATGCACAAATATGTATTTTTTTGTCATAATTATACAACAAACAAGCACATGTTTTGTACATTTGTGTTTTACCGTCATGCTTTTAAAATAAAACCCATAAAATTTCTCTATCTATAATCCATAATACTAACTCCTGTAAAGCAGTTGCACAACATACTTTCAAATCTGACGCTCGATGACACTTGAATACAGTCAGAGAAGTCTAGTGGCTGGGAATTACCTTTTTACAGTGTCTGATATAATGTTACTGCAGCAGTCGCTGCCGTCTATCTCATATGAAGTAAGACATCGTGATGACATATGATGACGTGTGCAGGTGTTGTAATGCTGTCCCATTTCTTAGGGGTAAAATTTGAAGCACTTTCCCTTCACACTCTGTTTTAAGGGCCAAGGGGAAGGGGTACAAAAATAGAATTGGGATTGGACCTAAATGATCAATTCTTATATTTGTGTAAATTGTCCCTTTATATGGTAATCTAATTTAGATGTTAATACATAGTCATAGTCAATAGTCTCACGATTCTCTAATTTGTCTTCTGTGAAAAGGACCATGGTATGTAATATATAAGGTATATACCATGGCTATAATAGAAGAAATCTCATCAGTGTCCCTTACTAAACTCAGATATACCAAATACAGAAGGATTGGGTGATAAAGAACAATGATCACAATATGCTGTATATTTTCTTCATAAAACAGAGTTTGAATAAACTTTGAAATAATGTTTATGTGCTATAGTATCTTAATATACTATAGAAGCCCAATATTATTGTCAATCCTAACTTCAGAATATCAAAAGATTTTTACAGATGTTCCGGTTTTGGGTAATAAACACAAATTTACATCTGGATTATAAATCAAGCTATTGTCAAATGAGCATTTCTAAGTGATAAACTACAAAATATTTTGTGTAATGTTTACCTCTTTGATCAATGTTTGTCATTTTGTAATGATAAAGGGTACTTTTTATGTTAGGTAGCTTGATGTTAAAACCATAATTATTTGTCTGGCTTCAACAACATTTGCTAAGGAACAAAAACCTGCCTTGAAAAAAATCATTTGAGCTAAGACTCCCACGATAAATTTATTTATGGTGACACGGTGGCTCAGTGGTTAGCACTGTCACCTCACAGCAAGAAGGTCACTGGTTTGAGTCCAGGCTGGGCCAGCTGGTGTTTCTGTGCCGAGTTTGCATGTTCTTATGTTGCCGTGGGTTTCCTCCGGGTGCTCTGGTTTTCCCCACAGCGCAAAGACATGTGGTGTAGGTGAATTGAACTAAATTTAACTAAATTGTCCATAGTGTATAAGTGTGTGTGTGAATGTGGGAGTGTTTGGGTGTTTCCCAGTACTGGGTTGTGGCTGGAATGACATCCGCTGTGTAAAAACATAAGTAGGAATAGTTGCTGATTTTTTCCGCTGCGGCGACCTCTGATATATAAGCGACTAAGCTGAAGAAAAATTATGAAATGAATGTCTCATTTATGTATGTTTTTATTTATGCAATTTAAGTAGGAATAAATGAGAAATATTACACTGTTCTAAAGTGTTTTAGTGTTTGTTTTTAAAACTAAATAAATATACCATAAGTAACAAACACATGTTTAATATTATAAAATCTATATAATTATAATTATAAAATTATAATGGTTTCCACAAAGAACGCTCATAGGTAAACATAGGTAAACTACTCATAAAAACGACTGCAATTGTAATTATATCTACATAAGCAGCCACACCATCAGACAATTATGGATGGGTTTAGATTGGTTGTCAGTGATTTTATTGATAACTAACTGAAGAAAAAAAAATCATTCTGACAGTGATCTTAATACATCAGTCTTCTGTGTCAGTTCATCACTGTTGTGGTATTACTTCCTGTAGAATTATTGTTAGAATAATTTCTGTATCATAGTCATCCTTAATGAGCTTTAAGTCTCCTCAACCACGACAAAGGTGGAACAATAAAACATTTACATTGTTGTTTACATGTCCTGTTTGTTTCTGCAGTGAAACCATAATGTTTCTGCATCAGATATTCTACCAAGGGTTGAAAGCTCGAATAGCAAGCTGGCCAACATTAGTCTTGGGTGAGTGCACTGCCAGAGCGGTTGGCAACCAGCAGCAAAGAACATTCTGTAGTCTTCTCAAACTGCAAGCTGGCGTTTGCGTGAAAGGTGCCACAGATCTGACTTTGATCTTTCTTCCCGTCCTTCAGCTGACTTGTTTGACATCCTGTTGCCCATGCTGAACATCTACCAGGAGTTTGTGCGTAATCACCAGTACAGCTTGCAGATCTTGGCCCACTGCAAGCAGAACCGCGATTTCGACAAGCTGCTGAAACAGTATGAAGCCAAGCCTGACTGTGAGGAACGCACGCTGGAGACGTTCCTTACTTATCCCATGTTTCAGGTGACCTGTTTTGGTTTTGTGTTGGGTTGGGGGGTGTTTAAAAGTAGGGGGGAATTAGGGCCATACCTTGTGTTACTTTAATTGCATTCACAGACTGACAGCAGGCAAAAGAATTGAATATATATATGTGTGTGTGTGTGTGTGTGTGTATATATATATATATATATATATATATATATATATATATATATATATATATATATATACACACACACATACATATATATACATATATATATATATATATATATATATATATATATATATATATATATATATATATATATATATATATATATATATATATATATATATATATATATATATATACATATATATATATATATATATAAATAACAACACAATTTACAGACTCTTTAGTTTGAGAGATAACTTTATTTACAATATCAAGCACTTTTTGGGCCTGTTTACATTGAAGGACAGCTGTGCAAATACAATATTTTTTGGGAAAAACATATGACCTCTTGAAATAATTTGTTCACAACAGATTCTTTTTGCATTCATAGCTTTAATTAAAGGGTATTTTTTTTGCAATCCAATGTTTTAATGGGGTTTCAGGTAGGGATGTCCCAATCAGGGGTTCCTTTCCCAAACAACGACATAACTTGCGGCTGAACTATCATATTACAATGCATTATTTAGGAAAAGAACAATGTAGTAAGGAGTGTTTCCCAAAACCATAGTTGCTTTGTCGCAGATCCATCTTTTGAACCAAATTTATAATGTAAAACGTCCAAAATGATGCTCTAAATGGAGCGGAGTAACTACTTCTTTTTGTGCAAATTATGTTTTACATGCACACACATTTTTAAAAAAATCCAATATTAGTTTTGATAAAAACATGCACTCGTTTTCCATATTAATTGAAATATATGTAGACAACACATATAGGACCTATATGTTTCCTTTACAAATATTGATGAGAATATTCCATATAAAATCACTTTTATAAAAAAGTTAAACGTATAAAAGCTAACACGTATTCTAATCTCATATATAAACCATATAAGTTGTTAATGGTTGTAGACCTAATTTACAGTAGGCTATTGATTAAAAAATGAAAAATAATCCTACAAATGTATTATTATAATTATTATTATTATTAATTATTATTATTATTGTTATTGTTATTAAGTAGGGTTTTATTTATTTATTATTTTTTATTTTATTTTTTAATTTTTAAGTACATTATGACAATCAAACCACTGCATAAATGTTCTAACCAACAGGCCCATGTCATATAGGCTTACAGTACAGATACATTTCTTAATAAATAACCTACTATAAATTAAAACCATTAACCTATGCTAGATATTTTTTGTTTTCACAAGCTTTGGAGACATAAAGTACATTTTGCTTTTAAACAATAGGTCACCTATAGCTTTGGTCATGAGCCACAGCTGTGTTCAAAATGGCATAAATGTTTTCAAATACAAAGTTTTCTACGAAATGCACTACGAAGGGAACGCAATAGTCAATATGACAAACTGTAAAACTGTACTATAAAAATACTTTGAAAGCAAATCACACCTAAGAGAGATGACCTTAATGTTGTTGTTTTTTTTTTTTTTTAAATCATTCTAAATTTATATGTTAGAATGTTCTAAATAAATAGGGTTTAGGGGGAATAACGGGGAATAGAACACAACCAGGAACTGTGCTTCTAACTACAGATCTAGAGGTGTAGTTGCAAGCGTACAAGTTTGCGATGCAGTTTGTGAATGTTCTATGGAACGATGGATTTGGTAAATGGCAAATCAATGAACTATGTTTGTAATGTCGGAACTTGCAACCTTAGTTGGCTAACTATAGTTCCCCTTCGGGGGGAACTTCAGCACTATAAGTGGATTTGATTGTAAAATCCACGCATTGGGAGGTTCGGTTCAGAAGCTACTCGTCTGAAAGAGTATTGAACGGGCCAATTAAGAATGAATTGGCAGCGCAAGCCTGCGCAGGTGAGCGGCATAAGCAATCAACTGAGTATATAAGCTCACCTGGCGCAGCAGACGCTATCCTTTTCGCTTCAGAGACTTTCTGATCGAGTCGATGAGGGTTCCTCCTGCTGTGACCAGCGATTCTGAGCGAACGAGAGCATTCTCCCGGTCCAGAGTGTGTACACGCAGTGGCAGACGGTCGAGCTGGGTTTCTCCCTTGCCTGGCGTTCTTTGGGTCCGGTCCTCCAGAGCGGTGCGTATAAAGTTGCAAACTTCACAGAAAGAGCAACACAGTCGTGCAGCACGTCCTTATCAGGACGGCGCTCCGACTGTGCGTTTCTGGATGCGGTGGTTTCCTGTCCTCGGATGATGGGCGCGGGCACTGTGTTACATGTCTGGGGGTCCAGCATGTTAATGCGCTGCTCGCGGGCAGTTCATGTCGTCATCGCGATGCCATGACTGTTGCGCAAGATCGCGGTTAGCCTTTGCAAAAAGGCGAACCACCCCAGTTGTCCCCTGCTCTGCAGCGGGCACTCGGGCAGATCTGAGGGTTTCAGCGAGAGATAATCCGTCGCCCACGGGCCCGCGGACCTCCCGCTCCTCTAAGCGCTCCATCCAAGCTTCGGGCGGAGGAAGCGATCCGTCTAACAGATGGTAGCCCTTACGCCCGATGACACCGGAGACCAGATGTCCACCGCGGCATCGGAGGGTGGGCTTTCATTGTCCGATGATGATCCAGACCCGCTCGCCCCCTTCGGGCTGGTGAGCGCTGTCACTACGGATCCTGAAACGGACATGTTAGCCGTGCTTTCCCGGGCTGCTTCGGCCGTGGGTTGGAGATGGTTTATCCCCCAGCTCCGCGGCCGGACCGACTAGAGGGGCGTTCCCTTCTTCCCGGAGGTGCACAGTAGGCTCACGCGGTCTTGTAAAGCACTTTTTTCTGCTCGTGCTGCGTGTTCCTCCACCCTAACCACTCTTGACGGTGAAACAGCCAGGGGGTATGTGGCGATTCCTCAGGTTGAGTGCGCGATGGCGGTAAATCCGCGCGGCGCCTCTTCTTGGCGGGGTCCGCCTCGTCTCCCATCCAAAGCCTGTAAGTTATCTACCTCCCTCGGAGCTAGAGCTTACATAGCTGCGGGCCAGGCTGCTTCCGCCTTGCATGCGATAGCCACCTACCAGCGCTACCAAGCGCAGGCGCTGGCCGAGCTGCACGAGGGTGGGTCCAACCCAGGCTTACGAGCTTCGCACCGCCGCCGACTTAGCTCTTCGGACTACTGAGTCCGCTGCGTGTGCGTTGGGGAGGACGATGTCCACATTAGTGGTCCAGGAGCGCCACCCCTGGCTGATATGCGCAAAGTCGACAAAGTCCGCTTTCTTGACTTCCCCATATCCCCAGCCAGGTTCGGCGACACTGTCTGTGAATTCACCCAGGAATTCAAGGCGGTGAGAGAGCAGTTGGTGGGTGATGTCTTATCGGCGGTCCGTAGCCCGCTCCGCCCGCCGTGCCATTCATACCTGCTCCTCGCCGAAGGCGCCCGCCTACGAGAGCTGCTCCGCCCCCGCACACGCCTAAGGCGAAGCGAGCGCGTCGGGCACCTCGGAAGCAGGCAGCCCCCCTGCCCAGAACGCCGCTAAGTCCGGCAACGGACCGCGAAGCGCCCCTGGGACAGGCCATCTGGAGAAGAGGGAACTTGCTCTTTCCCCGCTGGAGGGCGGGGCCCCATTTCCAACGGCACTTTTTACTGCCATGAAAACATTATGAAAGGGCACTTTTCACTTCCCCAGATGTGACAGCCCGAAATCTGCCAGTCTGGGACGCTATGCTTTCTAGCTTGCAGATTCGGTGCGTTTCGCCAGTGGCTCACGAGCGCTGGGAGGACGGTCTCCTTTCTCCCACCCCTCGAGCCTCCCCTCCGGAGCTCGGGTTTGGAGTGAGAGCAAATATCTCACCTCCAGCTTTTCCGTGGGACCCGCGAGCTTCCCGGATCAGCACACCCACTCCGCGCTGCCCCACTGCTGGTACGTCAGCGATTGTAGCGATGAGTCCATTAGCGAGAGCTCTGCCTGCCTGGTAAGCGCGGGCCAGCTCTTCGCGGTGGCTCATACGCACAATCAGACTCGGCTATGCGATTCAGTTCGCGAAACGGCCCCCCAAGTCACGGGTGTGTATTCACCAGGGTCAGCCCCCTGTCCGCCCCTGTCTTGCGAGAGGAGATTGCTGTCCTCCTGGCGAAGGATGCAATCGAGCCGCTCCCTCCAGCCGAGATGGAGAGCGGGTTTTCAGCCCACGCTTCATCGTGCCCAAAAAGAGCGGTGGGTCACGGCCAATCCTAGATCTGCGCGTTTTGAACCGCTGCCTGCACAAGCTGCCGTTCAGAATGCTCACGCAGAAGCGCATCCTCCGGTGCGTTCGTCCTCTGGGTTGGTCTGCAGCATTAGACCTGATGGACGCGTATTTCCATGTCTCCACTCTTCCTCGCCACCGACAGTTTCTGCGGTTTGCGTTTGAAGGTCGAGCTTGGCAATACAAAGCCCTCCCCTTCGGGCTCTCTCTGTCTCCGCGGGTCCTCACCAAGCCCGCGGAGGGTGCCTCAGCGCCCCTTCGGCTCGCGGGCATCTGCATACTCAATTTCTTTACGACTGGCTGAATTGCCCTCTCTTTTGATTATGCACAGAGTTGATTATGCACAGAGACAAAGTGCTCTGGCACTTCCACCTGTGGGGGTTTCAGGTCAACCGAGAAAAGAGCAAACTCGCCCCCGTGCAGAGGATCTCTTCTCTCGGGCTGGAGCTGGACTCGGTCACCATGGCAGCGCGCCTCTCCGGAGAGCGCGCTCAGCTGATGCTGTACTGTCTGAGAGAGCTCGACAGTAAAATAGTGGTCCCACTGAAACAATTTCAGAGGCTCCTGGGGCATATGGCATCCGCAGCCGCTTCATGCCGCTCGGATTATTCTATATGAGACCACTTCAGCACTGGCTTCACGATCGAGTCCCCAGACGCGCATGGCACGCGCGCGCACACCGAGTCTCTGTTACTGCGCTGTGTCGCCGCGCCCTCAGCCCTTGGAGCGACCCCTCGTTCCTACAGGCCTGGGTGTCTCTAGAACAGGCGTCCAGTCTTGTTGTCGTTTCAGCAGACGCTTCCAACACGGGCTGGGGGGCTGTGCGTTGCGGGCATGCGGCTGCGGACCTGTGGAAAGGTACCCAGTTGCATTGGCATATCGCCTGGAGCTGTTGGCAGTGTTCCCCGCTCTCCACCGTTTTTTTCCGGTGTTGGAGCGGCAACACGTGCTGGTCAGGACGGACAGTACGGCGGCGGTGGCGTATATCAGCCGTATAGGGGGTATGCGCTCTCGCCGCATGTCTCAGCTCGCCCGCCGTCTGCTCCTCTGGAGTCATCCGCGGCTGAAATCGCTGCACGCCATTCATATTCAGGCAAGCTCAACCGTGCAGCCGATGCGCTCTCACGGCAGCCTTGCGTCCTGGAGAATGGAGACTCCACCCCGAGTCTGTTCAGCTGATATGGGCGCGATTCGGGGAAGCCCAGATCGATCTGTTGCTTCCCCCGAGATCGCTCATTGCCAGTTGTTCTTTCCCTGACCGAGTGCTCTCGGCACGGATGCACTGGCTTACAGCTGGCCTCGGGGCACGCGCAATACGCGTTTCCCCCAGTGAGCCTGCTCGCGCAGTTACTGTGCATGGTCAGGGAGGACGAGGAACAGGTTGCTGGTTGCGCCCCTCTGGCTCAACCGGACCTGGATGTCAGAGCTCTCCCTCGCGATAGCCCTCCCCTGGCAGTTCCTTCGAGAGAGCACCTACTCTCTCAGGGACAGGGCACCACCTGGCACCCTCGCCGATCTTTGAAGAGATTTTTAGACGCGAGGAAGACTTAGGTAACCTCCGATTGCGGTGGCTAATACCGTCACTCGGGCTAGAGCCCCCTCCCCGAGCGCGCCTATGCCCTGACGTGAAGTCTATTCACTGAATGGTGTGTCTCTCGCTGAGAAGACCCCCGTAATTTGCCAGATCAGCGTTGTGCTTTCTTTACGCCGAGAGAAGTTGGAGAGCAGGCTGTCGCCCTCCACACTCAAGGTTACGTGGCTGCCATCTCCGCTCTCATAACGCGGTGGCTGGCAGCACCGTGGGAACGCATAACCTCATCATCCGGTTCCTCAGGGGCGTTAAGCGAATTAATCCACCCCGCCCCCTCTCATGCCCTCTTAGGATCTCGCCCTCGCTACACAAGCCGCGTCAGATCCCTTCGATCCTCGACTCAGTATTTTCTGTCCCTGAAGACAGCTCTGCTGGTCGCGTTGATATCGATTAGAGGGTCGGGGACCCGGAGGCATTTTTCGGTCAGTGACTCGTGCCTGTAATTGGGCTGGCTTCTCTCACGTATGAGACCCCGCCCGCGATATGTGCCCAAGGTTCCTACCACTCCGTTTTAATACGAGGTAGTGAGCCTGCAAGCGCTGCCCTCGGAGGAGGCAGACCCAGCCCTTATTTATTGTCCAGTTCGCGTTTTGCGTATTATCCGGACCGCACTCAGAGTTTAGATCATCTGAGCAGCTCTTCGTCTGTTATAGCGGTCGGCAGCAGGGAAGTGCCGTACCGAAATAAGTTCCCACTAGATTGTGGATGCCTTCTTTCACTATCAGAGCCGAGATGAGCCGCGTCCCCCGAGAGCGCGTGCGCACTCCACTCGGAGCTTCGCATCCTCTCGAGCGCGCGCACGCGGCGCCCCTCTAACAGACATCTGTAGAGCTGCGGGCTGGGTGACACCCAACACATTTGCAAGGTTTTACAATCTGCGAGTGGAGCCGGTTTCCTCAAGGGTATTAGGTAACCCTTGGTGATTGAGGAAACAATTCGGTAGGGTGTTGAAACACGCTTGCTGCGCCAGTTTCCCTAACACGGAGATACGTGCGCCTTTTTATCTGTCAGTAAAGTTCCCCGTCAGGTGAGCCCTGCAGATTCCTCCGTGGCCCCCAGCACTGACTCAGCGGAGGAGTCACTTGCTGGCCCACTACGTTGTAGGTCTGCCCGCTGGTCAGCCCGCGTTTTGGGTAAAGGTGCCTGCTATGCGTGGTCCCCACTAGGCGATCCCATATGCTTATTCAGCCACGGTTAAGTCCCCCCCCCCTGGGCGGACCCGTGTCTTCCCTCCCCGCTAACCACTCTTTTGCTATGCGTACTCCCCCTTTTTAGGGCTAGTCCATATGTAAATTCTGCCATCTATCCCCCCTTGGGTAACGGATGGCCTCCGCAGCGTCCTCCCTATCGGGATTGCACGCTTCCCAACGTACTGTCGTATTTTCCTAGAATTATCTAGATGCTCACGACTTCCCAAAAAATATATATAAATCCGTAAAACTTCTGTTGAAGTAGGATAAATTAGGGCCAGGGACACGTTGGAGGACCGCGCCCCCCATGATGTGGGTGCGTCACGCTTGCTTGACTATCTCCTCATCGGGGGTGTTGGTAAGGTGCAGTCATTATGGCGCTTTCAATGGGCTCCCAATGCGTGGATTTTACAATCAAATCCACTTATAGTGCTGAAGTTCCCCCCGAAGGGGAACGTTCGAGGTTACTAAAGTAACCCTTCGTTCCCCGAGGAGGGGAACGGAAGCACTATACTCCGTCGCCATAATGACTGTCCCTTAGCTGTTGAAAGTCTCTTCAGCTTAAAAAGGATAGCGTCTGCTGCGCCAGGTGAGCTTATATACTCAGTTGATTGCTTATGCCGCTCACCTGCGCAGGCTTGCGCTGCCAATTCATTCTTAATTGGCCCGTTCAATACTCTTTCAGACGAGTAGCTTCTGAACCGAACCTCCCAATGCGTGGATTTTACAATCAAATCCACTTATAGTGCTTCCGTTCCCCTCCTCGGGGAACGAAGGGTTACTTTAGTAACCTCGAACGATATCCATATTAAAAAATAAATAAATATTGCACTGCTTGAGAGGGCAAGTACTTTTTTGTCCATGAAAATAGGCTATTCTAGTTTATTCTGGCCCATAATGCCCCTTTTTTGTACAGTAAGCAGTTTTTCGAGTGATCTAGTTCAGAAAGGTCTACTTTGGGCTCTGCAGCATCGGTAATAAATGTGCTGAGGAGTGATAGCGCTCCTCTCTAAGCTTCCTCTGTGAGAATACAGTGCAGACAAGTTTTGTTTCCACTGGTGTGCATGACTAAGTGTGGAGATGAGTGTGTTTGCAACAGAAGGCAAAAAGGAAAAAAAAATCGAAACTACCCTCCTGTCTGACATTATGACATGTGCTTCTTGTCTGGCAGATTCCTCGTTACATACTGACCCTCCATGAGCTGTTAGCACATACACCGCATGAGCATGTGGAGAGAAACAGCTTGGATTACGCCAAGTCGAAGTTGGAGGAGCTTTCCAGGTACATCAGTCATGAGCCTGCAGCACAACCATACATGACCGTCATTATTTATCATTGCATTTAAAAGGAAAATCTGCAGATCGTCAGCATCATCATCATATTAAATCACTTGCAAAATGCTATGTCAAGGTTAAGGGTGTAATGTTTAAAGTCTGACAGTTTGAGCTTAATGTAATAATAATGCTAGGGCAACAGTATTTGCTTAGCACCTGTTCTTTAGTGCTGCAGACATTGCACACTTCAGTTTTGACTGCCCTTTCTGTAGTCAAGTTTTATTTTACAACGGTATTTTTAGTTTTTGCAGCGCTTTATAAGTTTAGGGGTTTTTGCCATACTTAATGTCTTAAATGATAATATTTTAACTGCATCATTTAGCATCTTTAGGGGTTTATTTTCATGATCTAGGGACAAAGTCTAAGGGCCCTATGATACACCCAGCGCAATATGGCCCAAGACGTGTTTGCCGCGATGTGTTGCTGCTTTCAGACCAGCACAACCCTAATTTTCCTGTTTTGCGCCGCATTGTTAAGCGCATTGTTAACGCATTGCTATTTTGAGAAACTAAAAAAGACTGTGCAATAGACCAGCTGAAAGCAAAGTTGTGCGCCTCGCTTACACATTGCTTAAAACACACAGGATGTACAGCAATACACAAGTATCTTTACAAATGAAGAAGAATTGAAGGATTATAATATTAAAAACATATGAAAATAATTATAATATTATAAAATATTAAAAACATTGTCTCCATGCCTTCTTTATCTCAGTTGGCTTTTTCAGTTTATTTACTACAACTTGCTTTTGTATAATGTAAATATTATTAGCTGTATTATTTATTATATGCATATTTTTATTTGTTTTATTAAAAACAAGCTTAGATTTGTCCACCTATAAGGTTTTGGACCATACTGGGCATAGGACGGATGTTTGTATATAACTCAGTTTTTTTACCTCACTTTGTTATTATTGTTCATTTATTCGTTTGCTGGAAATTAGAACTGAATTTAGAAACAGTTTTGAAATGAACCTTGAAATTAATTATGTAGGCTAATTGATGTCTGTGCATACAACACCATTTCCTTATACACGAAAGAAAGAAAGAGAAAGTAAAGAGGCTAATTAGAGAAGGGCCGTTCTTTATTAACGCACTGCAGATGGTCTGTTTTAATGTTGTCTAGCTAGTGAAATGTTCAGTTTTTCTACTTACTAAGTCCGCCATGTAAATAGCAAATGTGCCATGGTGTGACACAACTGACTTTTAAAGGAAATGGGAGATGAGACAAAACCCACCCATAACTCATTAAGAGAATAAGCTCAACCCTGTTAGATTTTTCCATCCCCAAAATAGCAAAAGTGCATTTGGACACGCCCTTAACGCTTTTGCGCCATGCGCTTTAGACTTTTCGCCTAGATTGTTAAAATACAGCCCAAAAGCGTATGGCAGCAAGGATAAAGAATGAGCCTTCTCCATTCGGCCTACTTTCTCTTTACTTTACGTTTAATCTGCTTCACTCCTTTACTTTCGCGGATAAGGAAACAGTTTTGAATGGACTTCACTGAAGACATCCATTAGCGTACATATTTATTTTGTTTGTTAAGCACAAAGATTTGATTCAAAACTATTGCTAAATTCAGTTCTAATGTCCTGCAAATGAATAAATGAACAATAATAATGAAGTGCGAAGAGTTATATCCAAACACACGTCCTATTCTTATGCTCCATATGGTGATGCATAGGTTTCCAAAACCCAACAGGTGGACAAATCTAAGCTTTTTTTAATTAAAAACATATTTAAATATGCATATAATAAATGATACTGCTAATAATAACATTATACAAATTCATATTGTCATGAATAAACTGAAAAAAAGCCTCCCGACATGAATGCATGGAGGTAGTGTTTTTATATTTATGTAGAAAATAATATTTTTTGAAACATTTTAATCTTTAATTTTTTTTGATATGTAAAGATATTTGTGTATTGTTGTACATCCTGTGTGTCTTAAGCAATGTGTAAGCATGTGAGGACTTTAGACCAGCTTTTGTTTGGTCAATGGCGTGGTCTATGTCAGTTCATCAAAATAGCAACCCACCAACAATGCGCTTTTCACACCAGCACACCCATGAGTCCACAAAGTGGCACAAATGGATTAGCTAACTAAACAACGTGGTGCAGAATGTGAAAATTAGGGTTGCACTGGTCTGAAAATATCAACAAATTGTGCCTAACACGTCTTGCACCTTATTGCGCCGGGTGCATAATAGAGCCCTTAATCTTTAAAATCTACTGTTATTTCTGGCATTAGCTAGTGGCATTTTCATGCTTAATAAAGTTTAAACATTTACATTTTTCAGCATCGATTGTTAAAATGTTGTGCCTTCACAGAATCATGCATGATGAGGTGAGCGAGACGGAGAACATCCGGAAGAACCTCGCTATCGAGCGCATGATCGTGGAGGGCTGTGAGATTCTCCTAGACACCAGCCAGACCTTTGTCAGACAAGGTGAACTCCCCACACACACAAACACACATTTATCCTCCTGAGCTCCACAGAAAGAGGCCACAGATCCCTGATAAGAAGACGACTGGATTCTCCTTTGCTTCTGTTCTTTTCTGCACACTGTCACTCTTGTCACCTCTCATTGTCAACTTCCCTTTTCTCCCCATTCCCACTCCAAAGCTTTTCTGTGCTGCCCTCTTTTCCTTGCCGGCACAAAGCGGAGCGTTAACTCAAAGGATCGGGCACCATAATCCCACTAGTCTCTGCAGAGCACAGTGTGTTCAAAGACCAGACCTACTCTGTCGTTTCCAAGTGTAATCACATTTTTAGCAGTCAAACCTGGAATCGGAAATGTCACTGATGTAGCACAGCATTCAAAGACACAAGGAAAACCTGTTAAATTTACACTGTCAGGCCTAGTGTGAGCCTAGTGCGTTCCAGGGATAATCAGATGTTTACTGTCACTTCCAGGGTTTGATTGACCCATATTGGGCCTCCTTGGAGCTAATGGCCAGGGTTTTTAGCTTATTGAATAGCCTAAATTAATGATTTCTTTCCAAATACAGCTATTTAAGGCATACGGTGTTATTCATATTGCAATATATATCGCAGAAAAAAACTAAATATCGCAATGTGCGATGTTTTGAATATCATGCAGCCCTATTGGACATATATCAATGCTGGAGTGTAAGTCTATGACAACAGTCATTTGCACCTGTCATATTTGTTTCGCTATTTATTTTTCATTCATTTTTCTCTGCTAATAAATTATGTGGTTCAAAGTGTATTTCCCTATGCACTCTTCTTGGTTTCTCAGCTTTACCCACTGCTTTATGTTTTCAGGATCTCTGATTCAAGTGCCCATGAGTGAGAAGGGCAAGATCACCCGGGGGCGACTGGGGTCTCTGTCTCTAAAGAAAGAGGGTGAGAGGCAGTGTTTCCTCTTCTCCAAACATCTAATCATCTGCACTAGAGGCTCTGGAGGGAAACTGCACCTCACCAAGGTGAAGCCTCATACAGTACAAGCAAGTATTAATTATTTTTGACATCAAATATGTTAATAAGTGTATGAATATGAATTCATCTACTGTATTAATTAATAATACTTCTAGAGCACACCTGTCAACATTGGGACAGGTATGCCCTACCCCCCACCCCACCCCACAAGGTTCATTTAGTGAATGCTTGAATGAACTTGTGTTATTATAAAAATATAAGTTGAGTCAACTTAACAGCTCCAAGTTTACACACTTTTCACTATTAAGGTAACAGGTAAGAAACAAATCACTTTTTACAAGTGTATGCTGTAATGTATGTATATTTATCATGTTCACATTTCTGAGTCTATGCTGTCATAGGCTATGCATAATTACCCATTGTGATATACTGTAAAACCCATTTGAAATCTAACTTTAAGTAGAAATGGTATTCACACCATTCCTTAATTTGTTAAAAGATGATGTTTGTTATAAAAGGCTTCTTGTTACTGTAAATCAGTGAAATGTTGTGTTGTGGCCAGAAAATAGTGATTACCACATTCAGCCGACTGTCATTTTGCCACACTCAATAAGCCAGTATTGCTCCAGGTCTTGGGGGAAATTGAAGAAGCAGATCCTCACTGTAATCACTGTTTTAGTTCAGCTGCCATTGATTATTTGATAGATCTCAGAGCATGTCTGATTGTTGCTTGTCTCTGGATGGCAGAACGGAGTGGTGTCGCTCATTGACTGCACACTGATAGAGGAACCAGAGGGCACTGATGACGAGTGTATGTATCAAAACTCATTATTTCATCTTAAAGTGTCGCTTTTTCATGTAATATTTTTATGTAGCTGTTTGTAGATGGGTCATTTCTGGTATTCTGTGCATTTTTGGGAGCATAACACAAACCTTTTTTGAACCAAATCACGTGATTATTTTACTACTTTTTTATTTGGGTTTTTTCAACTTTGTCCCAACTTTTTCCGATTTGGGTTTGTATATATTTAATCAGATACCACAAAAATGACAATACAAAAAGTATTAGAACATAAAAATGTTATTCATTTGAATGCATCAGTTCCAAATGTCAAATTCACACTCCAATTGTCATCCCTACAGTGCATGTAAGCTTGAAATTTGATAGTAAAATGCTAATTGATTGCAAAAATGTGAATTAATTTGATGTCAGTTGACTCCCTTAATGTAAAAGTGACATCAAATTTACATCTAACACTGGTGGCAAAAGACGGGACTTTGTTGTAATTGATTTTTGACGTGTTTTTTTAAGCCAGTGTTAGATGTCAATTTAACATTAAGGTAGTCAATTGACTTCAAGTCTTTTTTTGTATGCTAAGAAATGTCTTTACTGACTCTTATGATCACGTTAATGCCTATTTACTAAATAAAGGCATTAATTCTTTCCCAAAAGATGTAAGTGAATGCATTAAAAGTGTTTAATATCACCTATTCATAGAAATTACAATAGCTCTACATTAAATGACAATGAGATCTGACATTTGGCCACAGAAAGAAAACCTCTGTACTCACCCACATTCCAGAAGGACCTTTTACCACTGATATTGACATGTTACGAAAGTGGGCCCAACCACAAATCTAATCACCACAGACTTCTACTAGATTTGTTTTGCAGAGAATGACTAGGTTTTCTTCTTCTCCTCAGCCAAATCAGAGAAGAGCGGTCAGGACATGGAGCACCTGGATTTTAAGATTGTGGTGGAGCCCAAAGACAGCCAGTCATTCACCTTCATCCTGGTGGCCTCCTCGCGGCAAGAGAAGTCAGCCTGGACCAGTGACATCAGCCAGGCATGTCTACTCACATCAGATAATATTGAGTGATCTACACTGTCCCGGGGCAAGACCTTTGCCTTTTACTCACCTGCTGTGCTTCAAATACTCTCCTTATGCTCTTTTTTTTTCTCTGCAGTGCATAGATAATATTCGCTGTAATGGGCTGATGATGAACGCCTTTGAGGAGAACTCTAAAGTCACTGTGCCACAGATGATCAAGTAAGTGTTTCTTCATACAATAGAAGCTACTGGAAGTTTTTAAACTTGGAAATGGCTGTAAAGGTTTATAAGAACTGAGTTTTTGTAAAATGAAAATCCAAATGTGTTTATTTATTAACAATATATTTTACATTAAAGTTATAGTTGTTTTTTGATATTTATTTTGTGTTATTTGATTATTACAGTTTATCACTAAAGAGTTTTTTATCGGTCAATTTTATAAATATACTGTGTGTGGATAATAGGGGTGGCCATATTTTTTTGTAAATATACTGTAAGTAGTGAATATGTAATTGGAGTATATTTATTTTACACAAACATCTACAGTATATATGAATTTTAACAAATATTTATTTTACACTTATCGATTTTAGTTAAAATGCTCAATTATTTAATTTGTTATTTAAAAAAATATTGAATTTCAGCCACACTACAAAAAAGCTTTTCTTTCTCTTTCTTTCTTTCTTTCTTTCTTTCTTTCTTTCTTTCTTTCTTTCTTTCTTTCTTTCTTTCTTTCTTTCCAAATAAATAAATCCATTTTCTAGATAAGTAATACATATTGGGCTCTATTTTAACGATCTAAAAGTCTAAAGTCTAAAGCGCACGGTGCAAAAGCAATAAGGGCATGTCCGAATCCACCTTTGCCATTTTGAAGATGGAAAAATACGCTCTGCGCCCTGGCACATGGTCTAACTCTTAATGAGTTATGGGTGTGTATTGAGCATAACTCAATAACTCATCTCACATTCTCTTTAAGAGTCAGTTGTGTCATGTCATGGCACATTTGCTATTTACATGGTGGACTTTGTAAGTAGAAAAACTAAAGGCTTTACTAGCAAGAAAACAGTTAAACAGACCATCTGCAGTACAAGAATAAAGAGCCTTTTACATTCGGCATCTTTACTTTGCCTTTACTTTACTTTTACTCTACTCCTTTACTTTTATGGATAAGGAAACGGTGTTGTACGCACTCCACTGAGAATATACATTAGCCTACATATTTAATTTTGTTTGTTAAGCGCAAAGATTTGTTTCAAAACTGTTTCTAAATTCTGTTCTAATTTCCAGCAAACAAATAAATGAACAATAATAATGAAGCGTGATCAATATACTGTTATATCCAAACACACGTCCTATTCTATTCTTATTCATGTTCCTAGACCTATTCTTATGCCCCTAAAGGTGATGCTTACTGTACGTCTCCAAAACCCTTCAGCTGGACAAATCTAAACTTGTTTTATTTAAATAAATTAAAATATGCATATACTAAATAATACTGCTAATAATAGCAACAACATTATACAAATGCAAATTGTCATGGACATAAAAGAGGCACGGGGGTTGTGTTTTTTTATATATTTTTAAAAATAATTGCAACATTTTAATCCTTTAATTTTTGTTCATTTTTAAAGATATTTGTGTATTGCTGTACATCCTGTGTGTATTAAGTAATATGTTAGCATTTGCACTCTGTGCTGAACTTTAGACCAGCTTTTAATTGGTCAATGACGCAGTCTATTTTTAGTTCTTCAAAATAGCAACATGTCAACAATGCAGCTGAACACACCTCCTTTTCAGACCGGCACACCCATGAGTCTACAAAGTGGAGCAAATGGATTTGCTATTTAAACAATGTGGCACAAAACACGACAATTAGGGCTGTGCTGGTCTGAAGATTGCAACAAATCGTGTCAAACACATCTTGCGCCTTATTGCGCCAGGTATATGATAGGGCCCATTGTCTTTTTTAAGAAATAATTTGTCAAAATTAAATGAGTTTTTCCTTTAAACAAGCAAAATAATCTGCCAATCGGGTAAGCAAAAAAAATATTATGTCTAAAGGAAAAACAAGATTATTTTTGTTTGTCTGGAAAATGCTTCTCCATTTTAAGAATTTTTAGATATTTGGACTAGAAACAAGACAAAAAAATCTAAGTAATTTTTTTGTTTTGTTTGTTTTTTGCTGTCAATCAGTTGTTTTAACTAATTAACCTTTTTGTTAAAGTTTATATATATTCTGTTTGGGTTTCTTTTTATTATAACATCAAATCTAATTACTTGCATCACCTATTTAGGTCTGATGCCAGTCTGTACTGTGATGACGTAGACATCCGCTTCAGTAAGATGATGAACTCGTGCAAGGTGTTGCAGATCCGCTATGCCAGTGTGGAGCGTCTGCTGGAGAGGCTGACCGACCTGCGCTTCCTCTCCATTGACTTTCTCAACACCTTCCTGCACTCCTACCGCGTGTTCACCAGTGCTGACGTCGTTCTGGACAAGCTCATCACCATTTACAAAAGGCCCATCAGCGCCATACCAGCCCGGTGAGACACATGTCTGTTCCTTTCTTTTGTTTTTTCCAGAACAGAGAGGAGATCACTGAGGTTATTGTGGCAAATGGGAGAAGCTGATTTGCTTGACATTTCTGCACAGAGATGCTGACTGCAAATAGTTTGTATGCAGATCACAGTGCATATTCAGTGCAGTCTGCAGTCGAGAATGTTGATTAAATGGACTCTTTAGTCCAAAAACGAACATTTGCTCCCTTTTTACTCACCTTCATGTGGTTACAAATATTTTCTAGTTTCTTTTTTCTGTTGAACACAAAAGAAGATATTTTGAAGAATGTTGTAAACTGGTAACCGTTGACATCCATAGTCAGAAAAAAAGTCAATGGCCTGTATATATATATATATATATATATATATATATATATATATATATATATATATATATATATATATATATACATACAAATACAACTCTCAAACTATATAGACAACTCTCATATGTAAAATGAGGTCACATGAATTGCTCAGGTGTGATTTTTTCAACAGAGTGTAAAAATCTTGATGGTTCTATGGGTCTCGTCTATCATATCTCATCTTTATTTGTATTTTCTATTACATTCAAGTCAGGTGATTTGCTGGGCCATTCTACAGCATGATTTTATTTTTCTAATTGCATTTGAGAGTTTCCTTGGCTTTGTTTTCGATCATTGGTATGCTGAAATGTCCACCCCGGTTTCATCTTCATCCTCCTTCTAATGTAGATGTTGGACTGAAGTAGCTAATATTTATTTACATTGACGAAGGGCAGAGGGAGCCTCTGTTTAGTTCGGCTGTGTGAAGTTTGTATGTTCTCCCTGCGTTCGCGTGGGTTTCCTTCGGGTGCTCCAGATTCCCCCACAGTATAAAGACATGCGGCATAGTTTATGAATGTGTGTGGATGTTTCCCAGAGATGGGTTGCGGCTGGAAGGGCATCCGCTGCATAAAAACTTGCTGGATAAGTTGGCGGTTCATTACGCTTTGGCGACCCCAGATTAATAAAGGGACTAAGTTGACAAGAAAATAAATAAATGAATGAAGGGCAGAGGGTTGCTAAATAACTACTGAGATATTTCAGCTGCAGTCTAAGCTTTCACTGCCTTTTTACACCACCCTTTCTTCATGTGTTTAACACTTTTTCCCTTGGTTAGTTCATTTTATCACAAAACTTAATTTGTAAATTAATTAGATTTGTTTTCTTTTTAAATATGGATTTCTTTGTTTGTTACCAGCATCCTTGTAAAATCTCTTGTCAACAGCAACAATTGTCCAAAATCTACTAAATAACCTGCAGACTGATCATTACCGTGACACATGACAAGAAAAACACAACTTGTAATAAGGAAAAAAGTACAGCTACAATAATTTACTTTAAAAAACTAAATTTGGACCTAACTGCTTGATATTTGGCAGCTCCATCAAAGGTTTTATGCTAAATGAGCTGTTATAGCCTGGAAAGCAAATGTTGTCAGGGATGAGAGACTATCGCTTTGTTACTTTCGTCCTGCGTTACTTTCATCCCCACTCTTCCCTATTGCCAGTGGTGGAAAGAGTACTGAAAAATCATACTTAAGTAAAAGTATGATTACTTGCCCAAAACTGTGGCGCAAGGAGAGTAAAAGTATCTGTTGTAAATATTACTCAAAGTAGATGTAAAAGTAGCTCTTTTTAAAGTGCTCAAGAGTAGTGAGTATTAAGTATCACGATGTGAACAGCTCATGCGTTTACATGAAATTTGTGCATGGATGTGTAAACGTAACATTCTGTAGTGCATTAGTAACTGTTTAAGTTCATTTGGTGATTTCAGTCCTCATACAGTAAACATCCAGTGACATGCAGTCTATAAAGTCTCTCAAACATTGCGTGTAAAGATTTACGCTATCTTCTTGCACCCTTATATTCAGATATATTTAAAATAAACAATATTAAACCAGTAAATCTAGCACATGTTGTGTTACGGTGATGCGGTGACACAGTGGATAGCATATTCGGCTCACAGCAAGAAGGTCGCTGGTTCATGCTTCTGCTGGGTCAGTTGGCATTTCTCTGTGGAGTTTGCATGTTCTCCCCGTGTTCTCGTGGGTTTCCTCTGGGTGTTCCGGTTTCCCCCACAGAGACAAAGACGTGGTATAGGTGAATTGGGTATGCTAAAAATTGACTATAGTGTGTGAATGAGTGTGTATGGATGTTTCCCAGTGATGGGTTGCAGCTGGAAGGTCATCCGCTGCATAAACATATGCTGGATAAGTTGGCGGTTCATTCCGCTGTGGCGACCCCAGATTAATAAAGAGTCTAAGCCGAAAAGAAAATGAATGAATGTTGTGTTGTTTTAGTTAGTTACCACAGCAAAAATATTAATTGTTAAATTACTTTTAAAAATGGTACTTTTGTCCCTGCTCTCCCTACAATATCATTACACGGATGATAGTAATGATATTTCACCAATTAAATTATTTATATGAAAAAGACAACATTGGTAACTGAAGAATCATGTGTATGTGATACTTATGATGCGCTCCTACACAACCTGAGTGCACATGAGATGAGAGCCAATGACAGTGCTCCTTTACATACAGTATAACTCGTGAAACTAAAGAGAGTGTGGGATGTGGAGCTGCGCTGTTGAGAGTTTTCACCTCTTTCAGAGAGTTTATGTAGTTTTATCTTGTGCGTCAATGGCAAAAAGTAAGACTGCCCTTCTTTGTTGGAGCATATCTTGTTTGGGTGTGATCCTGCACATGTGTAATGTATAATGTATGAATGACATCTTGAGAGAAAGTTTCACTACTTCATTTTGATAATTATTTCTACACTCCATGTTAGTTATTGTTTATGTCATTTAGCACAGATATTTTAACCTGATTATGTGGGGTTTACCAATATAGTTCGTTTACATATCCACAACAAAGTGGTTGAATTAAACCAATATCTTTACCGTCCACTAAAGGATGATTTGTTTTGTTTTCTATTGTTTTGTTTTGTTTTGTTTTGTTTTGTTTTGTTTTGCTTTGCTTTGCTTTGCTCTGCTTTGCTTTTCATTTTCATTAAAGTGTTGGTCTGTGGCAGTAACATTTTACAATGCAGAAACACAATTGCAGTGCATTTGAAGTAGGAAAAAGTAATAAAATGCACTATTTCACAGACATATTTCCCTATATATTTCAAATCATAATAATATTGTATTATGACACAAGCAGAGTTGGGTATTCTAATTATAATTTGGGGAACGCAGTAATGTAATGAATTGCATTTTAAATTTGTGTAATTTGATTACAGTTACTAAGGTCAGTGTAATTGCGTTACTTGCAATACAATTATAGTTTTTAGAAGAAAAAAATGCTTCTTTTAAATCACGTTTTCCGCTTCAACATCAGTAAATAAGTATACGCTTTTAAATTGCTGGAGAACGTGAGCTGAAATGGCTGCTGATAAGAGTGCTTGGTTCTTCAAGTGGAAATACAGACATTACTTTGATTTCATTGAGCATAAAAAACAAAAATACTGCTGTGAAATGCAGTCTATGTCCAGTCTCTAAGAACTTTCAAATGCTTTTAACTGGACCAGCCACTTGTTCAAGCACTTAAACAGAAAACATTCTATGAAAATACTTGTTACCAACGAGGACACTGGTACCCAAAACACAACGGTCCAACTCAGCCTAAACAGGCTAAATAAAACTGTTGTACAAGTGCAGGAGTAAAAGTAAATTTTTTATGTAAAGAGAAGCGTAGCTGCCTATTGGCCATTCACATATTGTGTCTTATTTTGCATTCTACAGGCGGACCAGTTGAAAACAAAGAGTGACACAACAAGAACTGACCGGAATCAGCTTCATACTTTGTACAGAATATAAACATTTAGGTAGACTAATTACTAGAGGTGTCAAAATTAATTGTTTCTTCGGTGCACCGCGATGCAGACGCGCATAATTCGGTTTTGGTTCAGTAATAATCATAACCGGTTATTATGTACTGACGTCATTTATCTCCTATGCGCTCTGTCGCGAGGGAGGTGAGCGTGAGTATTTACAACACAGCCAACTCAGGGCCGGCCCGTGGCATAGGCACCATAGGCAAATGCTAAGGGCGCTGTAAATCCAGGGGGGCGCCAGAAATGTGCGCGGTTCAGTTGGTTTTGTTTTCGATATTCCTGACACACATTCAGTTATAGACGCCAATAACTCAAAAACCTCTTTTTTGACGTGTTTCTTTTTTTCGCTCGACATTACGAGCATTGCTCCGTTTAAGCCCTCGCATTATGTGTTTAGCCGGGAGAGCTCACGCTGAGAGGAGCTGTCCGTAAGGGACCGTCGGAAAAGTGCTTCTATTTTTTTTTTCGTTTTTCTGCTCCGCTCAGCGCGAGCTCTTCCTTTTGCAAGGGCTTAAGTGTGTGTGTGTGTGTTTGTTTGTTTGGTGCTGTCTATGTTTGTGTATGTGTTTGAATGAGAGACAGTGTGGCGCTGTGTGTCTGTGTATTTATACAGGCAGCATGTTATAGCCTCCCCCCTGAAATATAATACTGTATATGTAAAGCATCGTCAATGCACTGTGATGCACCGTGATATCGAATTGAACCGAATCGAAGGCATGATAATCTTAACCGAACCGAACCGTGAGACCAGTATAGGTTCACACCTCTACTAATTACCTCAGACAAACATAAAACACCCAAACACTGCCGTGCTTTTGCATACTATGGATGTCAGTGGTTACAGGTATCCATTTTTTTTCACGTCTTCTTTTGTGTTCAAATAAAAAAGACAAACAGATTTGGAACAAGTGAATGATGAGAAAATTTTAAGTTTTGGATGAACTCTTTGACCCTTTTGAATATGTCAAGCCGCTGTGATCAACCCATTATAAAGTTTTTCAGTGAGTATTAAATTACTGAAAGAGCTGCAGTTTCTTTTGTACTTTTATAGGTATATTTTATGTTTTAAAAGTAAATTCATCTGTACCGCATGTCTTTAGACTTGTGGGGGAAACCCCGAACCAGCAACCTTCTTGCTGTGAGGCAACAGCACTATCTACTGCGCCACTGCATCGCCTCAGTAGTAGTCAGTAATTTGTAAACTATTTTTTTTTTAAGTAACTTACCCAACACTGGACATAAGTATCATATCATGAGGTCTCTGCTCATTTTCACCTTAAATTCTCAGGTTTGTCTGGATGTGTTTTATTGGATATTTCACATGCATATACAGTACAGTAAACACAGTATCGCTCTTAATCCAGCAGTGTTACAGTATATATGTGTTCTCATGTTAGAGAGAATGAGACAGCACAGAGGTCACAGCAATGTGTGTTACCCTATATCGAGATCGAGCGAACATCTGCATGCACATGGGATGAAAGAAGAGAAAAGACAGTGAGATACAGAGAAAGCCAAAGGGGAAGGCAGTGCGACGTGCTGGAGTTGCTAAAGGCTTGCGAGGGGTCACACTAATGCATGTCGCCCGGCTCTATGTATGTGTGTGTTCTGCTGGAAACGGCAGTAATTGGGCCCTGCTTCATGGCCTGCTTGCCCGCCTGACTGAAGCATCTCAGCGGGGCTCTGTCGCCTGCTGCAGGACCCCACCCTCCACCCTCCACTCGTGCCGCATCTGCAGGATGAAATATTTAGTGTGCACGTTTTACAGCCTCTCTCTCTTTCTCTCTTGCGTGCACATGTTATATTTTTGTCTTGCTCTTCGCGTCTCCTCCTCCTTTTGGCTCCAGAGACGGAGATCCAGGCACATGGGTAAGAGCCGGGGACCTCCCACACACCCACAGCCAGCAGCACCCACTCTCCCCTGGGCAGACTGCATCTCCCCCGCGCCGCTGCCCTGCCGGCGCTCCAACGCTCTCCCAGACTGTCATAAGAGGGGCTATTTCTGTGCCGGTGTGACGTGTAGGGGTGGCTCGATGGCTCGATGTGTGGGAAAGCTTCTCTGCAATGCTCTCCAGCCTTATAGAGAGATGTGAAGAGTAGGCTGTTTGTGCTCCGCAGAGACGCTTTTCTCTCTCAGAGCCTCATGTAGCCTGAGCATCGGGAAACCATTATGAGCAAAATCATGAGCTGCAATCAGAGGCAAATACGTAACTGATGTTGTTATTGCTAGGGTGGTGACGGCTTGTGGTGGTTTTCTAAATTTGTGCTGATTTAGAGGAGAATTTTGTTGTTTTTAAGACTGTGATGATGGTGGAGAGAAAATAATCAATGTTGTTTGTATTGGTTGCAATTGGTTGGTCAGTTAGCTTCAACCACAATATAAAAAGGCATTTATTGACTGTGAGGTTTGATTAAAATTAAAAATGTATTTGCCTGTGTGGATCATTTAGTTACATAAAGTCACATTGTCATTATAGTTTATGAGGGGTTTTAAAATTGCGACCTTGGGGCTGCAAAAGAGTTCTAGGAAGTGTGTTAAAATGCATGTAAAACAAGCATTAAATGCATATGTTTATTAGTTTATGTTTTATTAAAAAAAATTTTGTTTGATATTTGTAAATAAAATACCGTAGTTTAATAAATTTAAGTATAAAATAATTAAAACAAATAATATAATTAAATAAATTAAATAAAATAATCTACACTGAAAAAATGCCAGTACATTAACAAAAAACATAGTCCTTATTTCCTTTTGCTTTTTCTTGTTCACTCCACTATTAAAAATATCAGCTGCACTGACCTAAAATTATTTGTTATTTTTTGTGTGTATAATCAGGAGGAATCAGAAACTGTTTTTTGTTTGAGCATTTGATTTGTAATTTTTTCATTACAAGATTTTACAGAGTTGTTTATGAAAATTAAATATCAAATACATTTAATTTCTCATTTGAGAATGCATTTTAATTTATTATTTGAGTGTTATCATGTGGGTTGTTGTTATAAAAGTTCAATTTATTGTTTGATCTTTTTAGGCATTTGAATTTTTATTTGATTTTTTCTAATTAACAAATTAACCCCCATAAAAAAAGAAGGAAAAAAAAGAAAAATGACTAATGACTAATAACTTCAAATTACTTTAACATTAGAGCATTAGTATTTTGTTGTTTTAATTATAATGACATTAATGTCATTTTTGTTGTTGTTGTTAGGGTTAGTACTGCAAATACTGCAACCTTTACTTTTTCAAGTGAGGCGGTCTGAGATTAACTCAACTTAACGAGTTAACAAGTTGTCAGAAGCTTTTTTGGGTGAAAAACAAAACTTTTTAACTTTATGAAGAAAATTTTGATTTCAGTAAGGTAAAGGTGTTAAATATGGTTGTAGAGACATTTTTTGCTGATTTTATTGAAAAACAAATCAAGTAATTTCAACTTATTTCAAGTTGGATTTTTACAGCAATTTAAAGCTTATAATGTAAGATAAACAGTAATATATTTATTATATAACAGTTAAATAATAATACAATTTATATTGCCTTATTTTTTATTTGTTAATTAATGCCTGTGATGGCAAAGCTGAATTTTTTTTTTGCATCCTCTGCCCGGTCAATCAATCTAATAGGCTCATTTGCGGTTTAGGATATATTTCTTATTATTATCTGAGATAAAAAAGTTTTGTGATGCCTAATTTTTTTGTTGAAATTGTTTGTCAGGATCCTTTAATGAATGCAAAGTTCATTAGAACAGCATTCAATGATATGTTTAAGGCTATAAATGACTTTACTTTTATTTAATTATAGTATACTCAGAGAATTATTTAATGAAGTCTTACTGAATTTCAATTATAATTTCCATCAAAATGCACATTGAAATTCCTTATCTGAAATCGCATGTTTATGCCTGACTCTATTAAGACTGAGGTTTTAAATAAAGACAACCAGATCATTAAATTGACTCTCCATCCTGCTCTTTTTCACACTCAGATCCCTGGAGCTGTTTTTTGCGAGCAGCCAGAACAACAAGCTCCTCTATGGAGAGCCTCCCAAGTCGCCCCGTGCCAGCCGCAAGTTTTCGTCCCCACCGCCACTGGCCATCACTAAGACTTCATCTCCCAATCGCCGCCGCAAACTGTCCCTCAACATCCCCATCATCACCGGAGGGAAGGCTCTGGATCTGGCAGCCCTCAGCTGTTCCTCCAATGGCTATGCAAGCATGTACTCTACCATGTCCCCCTTCAGCAAGACCACTCTGGACATCAACAAGCTCTATGTGTCCAGTCCCATCACCAGCAAGATCCCCGACGAGGGAGAGGGCAAGACGGACAAGGCAGATGAAATTTCTCTCTGCAAACAAGGTGTGTTCAAATTTTTTTTATTTTTTTATTTTTTTATTTTAAGTTTTAATTAAAATCAGTTGCTTAAAAAAATTTAATTGCTCTAATCTAAACTCAGAAAACAAGGCCTGGCTTACTGATGTAAACACAAACATCAAATAGGCATATTCTAAACATCTACACTATCAAAAGCGATTAGTTATAAAGCAAGAAGTTTACTCTCTTTTTTAAGTAAAGTTAACTAATTACTTTTTGCAGTGTAATAAACATCCAAAAATGTATGTCTAATAGATGTTTTGCAGATGAGAAAACACTGTAATAATATGTTTTCCAAATGTAAACCCAAACATCAAATAGACATTTCCAACATAGGCTCATTCTGAAAACGTAGCCCTGTATACATTTCTAGAGATCGCAAATTATGTAGCCAGCATGTATGGCTGCATTTCGTTTATAAAACGAATGCTACGGGGTGGTAAGTTGTTGTTTCTTTTCGCGCTTACCAGCTGGCCACTTACCAGCTGACCGCTTACCTCCATATGGATGGTTTTCCTGCTGTTACCAGTTTGTCCAGTTAGCTCACCATGTTTGTCAGTGGACTTGAAATGCAGAGAGGTGTTGACCTTGAAGATAGGGATTGAGCCCAACAAAGAACAGTTTCAGAAAACGGGTAAGACAAAAACAGATGCCAAAAAATAAAATAATCAAGTAAATAACAGGGTGAGAATGTGGTAAAATCTGAAAGCATAATAAAATTGGGCAAGGCCTTTTCTTTTTCTGGATTTACGTTAGAACAGCAGGCGCAATTGGCACTCACAAGGAAAATTTGAGATCTCAAAAAGCATACACAGCGGCCTCTGATGGATTCGCGAAAACAAAAACTGCAAAAAAACGTAACTCCTATGACTTATTTGGCCCTTTCCAGAAATAGCTGTACATTTTCAGAATGAGCATGGGTTGGACATCTCGGTGATGTGTGTATGCTATAAGTAGTTATTGGACTTACTCACATTGACTAACATTGAGTGTTACATTTACAGGGTGTCCGCAAGGTCTTAAAATGTCTTACATTTCAAAAACTACATTTTAGGCCTTAAAAAGTCTTTAATTCACTGAAATCTTGACTTGTAGATCTTAAATATTTGTAAACAGGTTTCAATTGTCCTTTGTCCATAAAAAAGCTACCCAATAACCAACAATTAATCTCAATAGAACTTTTAACAAAACTCTATTCATAACTCTATTTTCCAATATGGTTTATTTACCATTTTTACAATAACATTTGTTTAAAAATTGTGTATTTATAGTCCGTATATGGTAAGGAAACTGGCCTGGACAGACAGAGATTTAGTTAATTATAGTATTTCAAGATTTGTATGTGAAATGTGTATGCTTACAACTGGGGTTTGCTTGTTTTGACCATTTATTTAAAACTTGTGGCTAAGAAAGAACTTGTTATAATATAATATACAATAAAAAGTCCTGTATAAGTCTGTAATTTAAATTCACAATGATCTTAAAAAGGTCTTAAAACGTCTTAAATTTTTACTTTGTGAAACCTGCAGAAACCTTGATTTATTATGTTTCTAATTAGTTTCTGTTAACAACAGTTAATAACTTTTTCCAAACTTTTTTTGTTACAGCCTTAATCCAAAATGGATTAAATGAATTTATTTACTCAAAAATCAATATCTACAAACAAAACCCCATAATGACAATGTGTAAAAAGATTTTTTGAAATTGTTGCACATTTATTAAAAATTTAAAACCTGAAAAATCACATGTACATAAGTGTGAAGTTGAAATTGAGAAGTTTCTAAATTGAGCTGAGGTACATTCTGTTTCCACTGATCATTCTTGAGGTGTTTTAGCAGCTTAATTGGAGTTCACCTGTGGTAAATTCAGTTGATTGGACATGATTTGAAAAGGCATACACCTGTATATATAAGGTCCCTGAGTTGACAGTGCATGTCAAAGCACAAACCAAGCATGAAGACCCTGTAGACGTTGTCTGTAGACCTCCGAGACAGTATTGTCTTGAGGCACAAGGTTGGGGAAGGTTACAGAAAAATTTCTGCTGCTTTGAAGGTTCCAATAAGCACAGTGGCCTCCATCATCCGTAAGTGGAAGATGTTTGGAACCACCAGGTCTCTTGCTAGAGCTGGCCATGATCTCACAAGGAAACATAAGTATTTTAAGGTTTGTCAGTTTAGTGGCTAATTCATACGAATTCGTATGAGTTCAGTCGTACAAAAATGTACGATTTTAAAAAGGAGGCGTGTCACCCTGTATGGTAGAGTATGGTAGAGTGGCCAGACAGAAGTCACTCCCCTCCTGGAATTTGCCAAAAGGCATCTGAAGGACTCTCAGACCATAAGAAACAAAATTCTCTGGTCTGATGAGACTAAAATTGAACACTTTGAAGTGAATGCCAGGTGTTAGGCTTGGAGAAAACCAAGTACTGCTTATCACCAGGCAATACCATACCTGCAGTGAAACATGGTGGGGGCAGCATCATGCTGTGGGGATGTTTTTCAGCAGCAGGAACTGGAAAACTAGTCAGGATAGAGAAAAAGATGAATGCAGCAATGTACAGAGACATCCTAAATGAAAACCTGCTTCAGAGTGCTCTTGACCTCAGACTGGGGTTCATCTTCCAGCAGGACAATGACCCAAAGCGCACTGCCAAAATATCAATGGAGTAGCTTCACAGCACCTCGGTGAATGTCCTTGAGTGACCCAGCCAGAGCCCAGAGCTAAATCCTATTGAACATCTCTGGAAAGATCTGAAAATGATTGTACACTGCCGTTTCACATCCAGCCTGATAGAGCTTGAGAGGTACTGCAAAAAGGAATGAGCAAAAATTCCCAAACACAGGTGTGCCAAGCTTGTGGCATCATATTCAAAAAGACTTGAGGCTGTAATTGCTGCCAAAGGTGCATCAACAAAGTATTGAGCAAAGTTTGTGAGCACTTATGTACATGTGATTTTTCAGCCTTTTTATTTTTGATGAATTTGCAACAATTTCAAAAAATATTTTTTACATTGTCATTATGGGGTATTCTGTGTAGAATTTTGAGGAAATAAATTAATTTAATCCGTTTTGGAATAAGGCAGTAACAAAAAAAAATTTAGAAAAAGTGAAACGCCATGAATACTTTCCAGATGCACTATTATTATAGGTAGTCTTCAATACAAGAATAATGTTTTCATTTATAACTTTCATAATATGGTGAGTTTGTGTTTCGTTTGTCTGATATATGTATTTGGATAACTTTTTTTTCTAGACAATTCAGTGAGGGAGGAAAGCGATAACGACCAGATCCAGAGTGATGAGGCAGAGGCTGAAGTGTCGCCCACCAAATCACCCACCACTCCCAAAAACGTCAAATGCAAAAACTCCTCAGGTAGAAGACACTCTGTCCTAGTCTTCCCTGCCATGTTGTTATCGCTCACTGACATGAAAACCAGAGCACCTGCATCTCATGCTGACAAGCCACCTGCACCCTTCAGACCAGCCAAATGTTGCATTTATCAATGGCTCAAAATGGCAGACTAGCTGTTTCGATAGACAGAGTGTTTAAATCAATGATCCAGGCACAGCTATAAGTAAAATGTTTATGTCGGTGAGGTGCTGATGTGATTCGCAATAAACAAAGTGATTCTTTGGACAGAGATGGAAACCTCGCAAGACACGATTCATGCAAAATCTCATTAATTCTGTAGGTTTCAAAAAAAAAAAAAAAACAAGCTCAGGGAAACGCCAAAGGAGGCGTGAGTAGGTGTTTGGAAAACTTGTGCCATAGCAACCATTAGCATGTATTCTCTGTGCCACCCCTGGTTTGTTTGTGCGGTCGATTCTCTGACAATACCATCTCTTTGCTTTTAAAACTAAACTATATGCGGGTTCAGAGGTCAACAATGACCCAATTGTTTCATTTTTTGTGATGCAGTTTTTCTTTCAAGCTTAATAGAACAACAGAGCAGTTTCTTTTCTAAATCTGTCGTGAGGCACACAACAACAAGCTTGTTTCCTTTAAAATGCTGCTTTTGTTATTCTCTGAGAGTGTATTTGAGACATACATCTTAGTGAAATGATGAGCTATTTTTAGTCTCAACCATCTTGAGAAGCAGAGCCCAGCCTATTGTCTTGATGAAGACGCAGTCTGTGATTTTATGTTTCGCACTGCCACCTGCTGGATGCTTCCGTACACTACATCATTGCAGCAGCATCGCCGTTTTGCTAAAAGAAGTTTTTCATACCATAACATGATGCATTAGCTTGGGGAAAGTGCTTACAAGTACAAATCTAACAGTATGGAAGTAAGTGCTTATTTTGGTCCTGCTGACAGGCGCAGGCCATCTGGGTAGAGTTTTTTTTTTCCCTTTTTCTCACAGTCGTAAGATGCAATGGATGTTTGTGACATTTTCATATGTCATCATGGGAGGATTATCCATTGTGGAGATAATGTCACTGCCTCCATTATTTCTGCATGAGTCCATCTTGTCTTATTTTACACCTGCTGGACCCTTAAAGGCGAAGAACTCTAAAGCGCAGTACATTTCCTTAATCTTTTCATGGCCCATTTAATCTGTGGTTAGGGGCAGATGAGTTTTAGGTATGTTGCACTTATTACGTTTTAAGAATACTGCACATTTTAAACACTTAAGAGTAAAAGATTTTTTAAATGTTATGAGGGTAAATTAAAAATTTTAAGAAAAAAAGTTTAATTAAATGTATTTAGACGACACAGTGGTGCAGTGGGTAGCACGATCGCCTCACAGCAAGAAGGTTGCTGGTTCGAGCCTCAGGTGGGGCAGTTGGCATTTCTGTGGTTTGCATGTTCTCCCCGTGTTCGCGTGGGTTTCGGCTCCAGTTTCCCTCACAAGTCCAAAGTCGTGGTATAGGTGAATTTGGGTATGCTAAAATTGTCCCTAGTGTACGTGTGTGAATGAAAGTGTATGGATGTTTCCCCATTGATGGGTTGCAGCTGGAAGGGCATCCGCTTTGTAAAACACATGCTGGATAAGTTGTTGGTTCATTCCACTGTAGCGACCCCCGATTAATAAAGAGACTAAGCTGAAAAGTGAATGAATGAATGAATAAACTTTATTTATAAAAATGCTAAAACTGGAACCGTTTTTTTTTTTTTTCAAATGTTCACTTCTAAATTTGTTAATTGCCAATGTACATTGTGAAATTTGCTTGCATTAAAATTAATTTATTTTAGTGCACCAAAACACATATGCTGTTTTTGTACATGAATATCTAGTTTCAGTCTTACCCCTTGAAGAAAAAGATATAAAATCTCATATTTCGTTTGGAGTACCTGTATAAAGGGTTATTCAGACACAGTTGAAATCAGAATTATTAAAAATTATTTAAAAAAAAATATTTTAATATTTACATCATGTTCTCCCTGCATTTGTGTGGGTTTCCTTCGGGTGCACAGTCCAAACACAGGTACAGGTGAATTGAGTAAGCGTGTGTGTGAATGTGTATGTGGATGTTTCCCAGAGATGGGTTGCTGCTGGAAGGGCATCCGCTGCTTAAAAACTTGCTGGATAAGTTGGCGGTTCATTCTGCTGTGGCGACCCCAGATTAATAAAGAGACTAAGCCTACAAGAAAATAAATGAATGAATGAATATTTACATATTTCCCAAATGATGTTTAACAGAGCGAGGATATTTTCACAGTATGTCTGATAATATTTTTTTTTTTTTCTGGAGAAAATCTTATTTGTTGTATTTTGGCTAGAATAAAAGCAGCTTTTAATTTTTTTTAAAACCTTTTTAAAGGCAAAATTATTAGGCCAGTTAAAAAACTGTCATTATACAATAACTTGCCTAATTACCTTAACCTGCCTAGTTAACCTAATTAACTTAGTTAAGCCTTTAAATGTTACTTTTTATAGAAATGTCTTAAAAAAATATCAAGTAAAATATTATTTACTGTCATCATGGCAAAGATAAGATAAATCAGTTATTAAAAATGAGTTATTGAAACTATAATGTCTAGAAATGTGTTGAAAAAATCTTCTCAGTTAAACAGAAATTGGGGTAAAAATAAACAGGGTGTCTAATAGTTCAGGGGGGCTAATAATTCTGACTTATACTAGTTTATTAGCATTCATAATCCGCTCACATTATCACTTTGTTTATGATATTTGTGCATTCCAGATATGCTGCCTGCTGCTTTAAGTTCTTACTCTTATTAAAAGCCAGATGGATTCTGATTGGCTTTCAATGTTTTTATCATTCTTCAGCTGGAAAAAAGGCCATTTTAAAAGTGATCACAACAATATTGTTCTTCTGTGTCATAGCTGTTATGGTGTGGACTCAGATATTGGTTTTGGAATGATTATTAAAAACCTCATGATCATAATAGTTATTTCCCTTGCAGTACAGTCTTTAATTCTGTACAGTGTACACACCAAATGTTCATTTAGCATGTTTGTTCTGCTTGTTTTTCTCTTTGAGCAGAATTCTCTCTGTTCTCTTACAATAATGGCATGGTGATGTCATCCTGCCGGGAGCTGGATAACAACCGTAGCGCCTTGTCTGCCGCTTCTGCCTTCGCCATCGCCACTGCAGGTGCCAACGAGGGCACGCCAACCAAGGAGAAGTACCGCCGCATGTCTTTGGCAAGCACAGGTAAGATTCAGCAAGCTGTTTCAAACTCCCATAGGCTGTGGGTATTTGTTGCCTGGCAGAAATGAAATCAGTGTGAATTTTGATTGGCTATCAGGGTTCCCTACGGATCAGAGGAACGGAGATAAGGAGTTTGTGATTCGCCGAGCAGCAACTAACAGAGTCCTCAATGTCCTCAGGCACTGGGTGTCCAAACACTCACAGGTGAGATTGAGTACAGTGTAAAATCATATACTAACACAAGACTTGACTAAACAGAAACAACTGTTTCTGGGTCCAAATTCAACACTTTTGTATACTTCTAATATCTATTTTTATACAATATGTATTTTTTATTTGACTTCAAACTGAAATAAAATGTTTTCTGAGTGATAGTAACAATAGACAAGTCTTATAACTTACTTTGTCAGTAAGTTTAACTAACGGGCTTTAAAATAATGACAAATTTAATATTTAGAAAATACAAGCATTCAAATATTGCATTTTCACCACCAATAGCAGTGACATTTAGCACGACCATGAAGCTTCCAGACCTTTTCCAATCAAATCACCTTTTTAATCTCCAACTAGGCTTTCCTTCAGTATATATTGTCCTGTCATAATAAAAGCAAAAATTCCAGAACACGACTAAAAAAGTAGTTTCTCATTTCCTCCAAATGGACCAATAATCGCTGTTCACTTCGGCTTCTCGTCAAAATTCTGACCAGTCAAATACTTTCTAGAATCTGAAGTGAACCCCAACAACACTAATATTAAACCTAATAACCCTAACTCTTATATTTACTAATATTAGGGTTAAGATTATTATATACGGTCGATGCAGTAATGCTGTACCTAGTGCTGTCGCCTCACAGCAAGGAGGTTGCTGGGTCGAGCCTCAGCTGGTTCAGTTGCCGTTTCTGTGTGGAGTTTGCATGTTCTCCCTGCATTCGTGTGGGTTTCCTCCGGGTGCTCCGGTTTCCCCTGCAGTCCAAAGACATGCAGTACAGGTGAATTGGGGAGGCTAAATTGTCCGTAGTGTATGAGTGTGTGTGTGTGTGTGTGTGTGTGTGTGTGTGTGTGTGTCTGTGTGTGTGTGTCTGTGTGTGTGTGTGTGTGAATGAGTGTGTGTGGATTATTCCCAGAGATGGTTTGTGGCTGGAAGGGCATCCTCTGTGTAAAAACATGCTGGATAAGTTGGCGGTTCATTCCGCTGTGGCGACCCCAGATTAATAAAGGGACTAAGCCGACAAGAAAATGAATGTAGGAATGAACGAATTATTATATACTAGGGGTAGACATATTAAAAACATTGATATTATAAATTCCTAATGTCGTGCTCAGACACTCTTAGCACTCACACAGCTTGCATATACCGCTGCTCAAGCCCAACCCAACTTTGCTCTGGCCCACTTCTTTCATAGCATGATAGGTCCACTTTAAAAGTTTTTTGCCTTGCATTTGTGTATCTGAACCTGTGTATTGTGTGTGCAGGACTTTGAAACCAACACTGAGCTCAAGATGAAGGTAATCAGCTTCCTGGAGGAGGTGATGCACGATCCTGAACTTCTGACCCAAGAAAGAAAGGCTGCTGCCAACATTATACGGCAAGTAGATACTGCCTGTACCCTGATAGATTACCACATGTTGGGTTTTAAGTAAGTTTAGACAAATACTGATAGATAGATAGATAAATAAATAAATAAATAAATAAATAAATAAATAAATAAATAAATAAATAAGGGCGATGCAGTGGCGCAGTAGGTAGTGCTGTCACCTCACAGCAAGAAGGTCGCTGGTTCGAATCTCAGCTCAGCTCAGTTGGCGTTTCTGTGTGGAGTTTGCATGTTCTCCCTGCGATGGCGTAGGTTTCCTCTGGGTGCTCCAGTTTCCCCCACAGTCCAAAGACATGCGGTACAGTCGAACTGGGTAGGCTAAACTTTCCGTAGTGTATGAGTGTGTGCATGAAGGAGTGTATGGATGTTTCTCAGAGATGGGTTGCGGCTGGAAGGGCATTGCGTAAAAAATGTGCTGAATAAGTTGGCGGTTCATTCCGCTGTGGTGACCCCGGATTAATAAAGGGACTAAGCTGGCAAGAAAATAAATAAATAAATAAATAAATAACATTTTATTGAGTATGTTGAAATGATCTTGTTTTGCTTTGTTTTGTTTTGGTTGATAAAGTTTTTTTTTTGTATGCCATTATGAAAACAAAATTAATTAATTAATTTAAAAAATTAATGGTGCTCTTGTGAAATTTAAAGAAGGAGAGCTGAAAATAATTCCATGCTTATTTAATCTTTTATTAAAGAAATTCATAAATATGTAACCATTTTCAAAAAACATTTGAAAATATCAGCCCTACTGCACATTAGCTATAATTGTTGTTCAATACTTTTTGCAATCTCCATTTTTTAAGATAACTGCTCCATGTATTTTCCTATAATAGCTGATAAAAGAAAACCCTGAAAATCTGGAAAGAGATCAGAGACCGTCATTCATACAGAAAATTCTATAGATTTCAGGGGGACCAGGATAGAACTTTACTTTTTAATATATATTTGGGTAACACTTTGTTTTATGGTGTCCTTGTCACACAAATTCTATGTTATTTTATCTAATTTTAGTATATCTTTAAAATAAAGACTGTATTTGTGTTGATTTTGATGTTTGTTTTGATTTATTGTTCTGATGGAAGTTCGCCATTTCTAAGATATTTTTCTGTTGGCATTTGATTATATTTAGATATTGATATCATTTTTAAAAAATGTGCAGAAAGAAAAAGTCTATGCAGCAGACAAAAATAGACCTATAACATTAAAGATTCAACAGTATACACACATGCCAGTCCAGCACTGCCTGGTAGTGAAATATGCTGGAGTCAAACAAATCAAATAATTTTTTTTTGCAAATTCCAGCTGTGATCGTCTTTGCCTCTCAAACTATAATCCTTGTTGTACATTTACACAATATGGACACACACTGTCTTCCAGGTAGATCTGTAACTTTTTTTTAGTTTATTGGTTCATTATTGTTATGTAAGGCTTACCAAATATCTTCTCCAAACCAGAACTGTACAATATTCTTTAGTTTTACTCATTGTGGTGGATAATGCTTAGAATTTGGCACTTGCGTTTCCTCAAATGCTGGACTCTTATACAGTTTCCAGTTGTACCAATAATTGTGGCCAGTGTACACTGAAGAAAATATATTTCATAATGATACTTCTTTATTATTCCAGCTGTTTCAATTTTTTTTTCAGAATTTTCTCAATGGAACATCAAAAAAAAAAAAACAATGCATTTTTTTTCACAGCTTTTTTGCTCATGCTTGCTAAGTGTGCCAATAATGTTTACCATTACTGAAATTCAGTCAGTGGCTTGGTTTGTGAAAACATTCTCTCTTTTTTTCTTTTGATAGAACACTAACGCAAGAGGATCCTGGTGATAATCAGATCTGTCTGGAGGAGGTTCTGCAGATGGTGAGTGTGGTGCTTCTTGATCATCCTCCAGCATATTAAACATTTTTCAGTGCCAAAACAATCAGAACTTCATTGTTTCTTCGGAATTTCTTAATATAATTTTATTTTATTTTTTTACTGTACTCTTCAGAGTATGTAAGGTCATCATTAAATGACTCACCTTGACTGCCTGTATTTGAACAATTTTAATATTTCAAAAATTATTTTTCCAGTGATTCTTTTGCAATCATTATTAGTTTTCAGTTGGTGCTGAAGAAATGTAATATGTTTGTTGGTACTGTAATCTTTGTAACGTAAGGTTAGCTATTCAGTTAAAACTTTCAGAAATAAATCTAATTGAATAAATAAATTTGTTCATCCTAAACATCTTGTGCCAAATTATTGTATTGGTTTAAGTTTACGATGCTTTTAACAATTGTGAAAGCTTATAAACTGTGCTGAATCTTTTAAATCCTTTTGTTAATTTATTTTTTATTCATTTAACTAAATGTTTTATTATGTAGGCTGAAGGAGGAAAGTCAGAGTCTTTCGAGAACCATTCAGCTCTGGAGATTGCAGAGCAGCTCACCCTACTTGACCACCTTGTATTCAAAGTCATACCATATGAGTGAGTGCTGCTATTCATTCTTTATTTATAAGACTTAAAGTTATCTTAGTTTGCTTAAAAATGAAAATTATGTCATTAATGTTCCCTCAAACCTTTAGGATGTTCTTTTAAACAGTTTGAACAGTAATCAATGTGAATCGTTTTAATTTTGGGAGTAGTTAACTACTGTATGCATTTAATAAGGACACCTAAGATACCTTGCACTTCACGTTAGCATTCGTAAAAATCGAATACAGGCTTATAAGGAATATGTGCTTCAGCCTAACAGTACATTTTGTAAAACTGCAAAACCATACTCAAGCACTATACAGTTTCTAGATAAATTAATGCTATGAGGCAGTATGATGCAAAAACTTTTTTGTCTTTTCACACTAAGGATATTTACGGTGACATACAATCGATCAGAATTGATTTTATTGCCGAGTGTGCTTACACACACAATGAATTTGTTTTGGCTACAGAAGCTTCCAGTGTACATGAAGTGACACAAAATAAAACAGAGAAAATACACCAAACATTAAACAGAAATGCAATTAGTCAAAAAGCTCTGGATGTTGAATTGTATGGACAGATTTGTTATAAATATATGTTATAATAAGTCATAAGTTGCTGTGTATAAGTGCATACGAGAAGGTATTGCACAGGTTTATTGCACAGTAGGGTAATATTAAACTATTTATGAAGTAGATGGCCTGAGGAAAGAAACTATTCCTGTGTCTGGTGCTCTGTAGTGCTGACCAGACGGTAACAGTTCAAACAGAAAGTGTGCTGGGTGTGAGGGGTCCAGAGTGATTTTGCTTTTACTCACTCTGGAACAGTACAGTTCTTGAAGTGTAGAAAGGGTAGTGCCAGTGATTCGTTAAGCAGTCTGAACTATTTGCTGTAGTCTGCGAAGGACAATTTTGGCAGCCAAGTCGAATAAATTAATAAACTAATTGATGAATAAAGGAATTACTTTGTGCTGTTCTTTGCACAAAACTAAATAGATACCACAAAACAACTTAACAGAGTCTATACAATCAGGTTTGAGTCCGGTGAAGCATGGTTTGTTAGTAAGAAATAAAAGCGATGTACAATCAAGGTAAATTTATGTGGTTTCAGTGCACTGTTTGCTTTTAAAATCTATTGGTTTAGATCAGTGGTTTGCTGATCTTTACAACAAGCCCTGCCTTCTCATGTAGAAGAATTGTGTATCAGAAATGTATAACAAAATGTAAGTAACGAATTTCAGATTCATAAAAATGTAGACAACTTTCTGTAGTGGATTTGTCATCTGAAATGTGCAACCAAATATATCTGAAGTAAATTATTTTAAAATTAACAGAAAGGTTGGTTGAGGCATGTATTTTCAATGAGTCTGGGTGGCAAAGAACTGTCAAAGATATTGCTATACTGCAAAAAAGTTTACTCAACTTAAACTTATAAGGCAACTTGCTGGAGAGCTTTTTTACTTGGGTTTAAAGGTGAGTCAACTAAAAAAAAAGCTATGCAGCAAATGACAAAAAACTTTTTTCAACAGTGTAGATGTGTGTCAATATGAATATGTGTATCAATATTTCATATAAGTCGCATTTACACCTGAATCTATGATGTGTCTGCCAATTTTATCGCAGTGGACAAAAAATAGCTATATTTTGAGTTTGTTCACTGTTACGAGTTTAAGAAGTTTAAATAGGATGCTGTAACATTTAGGTGGGACAGAGGTCATGTGTGCGACAGATCAAGGATGAAGCAAAAATCAATTCTCTATTTAAGCTTCTTTTACTCAAGGCAAGGCAAGCCAAGCCAAGGCAAGGAAAAGGCATTGTAATGTTCACAATCAGTATAAAAACAGCAAACTCTGTGTGTTTGTGTGCTGACTATATAGCCCATGTAATCAGTTCATGAGCGGCTTCAGCTGTGAGTGTTTGCAATCAGACAGGATCTAGGGCAGGTGTGTGATTGGTGCATGACTGGATCTTGTAGTTCTTTTGCTGCCAGATTTGTAATTCTCCAGCGATCTGCATGGGCTAGATCGCTGGTGACTGTGATAATATTTTCATTTGTGTTCAACAGAAGAAAGAATCTAAAACAGAATAAGAGTGAGTAAATGATGACAGAATTTTCATTTTTAGGTGTACTATCTTTCCAAAATGAGAAGAAAGCAACATTGTTGTAGATCATTTGATCAAACTATATATATTACCACACAAATGTGTTCATTCTCATTTATTCACAGAGAGTTTTTTGGTCAGGGATGGATGAAGAATGACAAAAATGAAAAGACACCTTACATCATGAAAACAACAAAACACTTCAACGATGTAAGTGTTCGATGTAAACACATCTGATCATACAGCAGTTAAGAGGAAATGTTCAGTTGCTGTTCCTCCAAATAAAGCATAGCGAGAGCAGTGCTGACGTACCTGTGTCTCTTTTACAGATCAGTGACCTGATCGCTACAGAGATCCTGCGCTGTGAGGATGTGAATGTACGGGTAGCAGTGATGGAGAAGTGGGTGGCGGTGGCTGATATCTGCCGCTGTCTCCACAACTACAATGCTGTGCTGGAAATCACCTCGTCCCTCAATCGCAGCTCCATCTTCCGCCTGAAGAAAACCTGGCTCAAAGTCTCCAAGCAGGTGAGAAACTACTTAAACTAAATTCAGTAACACTTTACAATAATACTGTGTTAGTTAATGTTAGTTAATGCATTTAGTAAATTAAACAAATACTGTAAAAATGTATAGTTCATAGTTTGTTTATGTTAGTTAATGGAAATACAGTTGTTTATTGTTAGTTAACTTGTGGTGTATTAGCTAATGTTAACAAGCATCAATATGGATGTTATTAGTGCATTAGTAAATACTGAATTATGATTAAAAATACTGTACAAGTGTTCATAATTAGTTCATAATATATATATATATATATATATATATATATATATATATATATATATATATATATATATATATATATATATATATATAAAACTAGTATCACTAACATTAGCTAATGAAACATTACTGTAAAGTGTGACCCAACATTTTGCAAATAATTTGAGAACATGAATCATTTCAGCTGGCTTAAAAAACAAAGATGAGTCCTTAAAGGTTAACACTTAAGTTTAAGTAACGATTGCCACTATTAAATACTGGCTTATTGCCTGTGTATTATTAAAATATTGGCAATTTATTTGTACTTAAAAAGTATGATCTTATTCCTCATTTCGATTTCTATCCAATAAACCCAACTTCAACTTTACTCATTACCTATTAATAAGCAGCAATTAAGGAGTTTATTGAGCAGCGGAAAGTATTCGTTTATGTTTTGTTAATAGTGAGAATTTTACCTTAAAATAATGTGGGACCCCCATAAAGATACAGTTGAAACCAGAAGTTTACACATATTTGTATAAAAAGGTACATAACTATTTTTTAAAAAAATTCAAATGTTAATGTGACTAAACTTTTTCTCTTTTAGGTAAGTTAGGATTATCAAATTTGTTTCTGTTTTGCTTAATAGCAGAAATTGTTATAACTTTTCTTGAAAGTCAAGTTTACATACATAAAGATTATTATGCCTCTGAAAAAGCTCAGATGATGGTGTCAAGGTTTTGGAAGTTTCTGATTAATTGACAACATTTGAGTTTATTGGAGGCACAACTCTAGAATAGTATTTAAGGAAAACCTCATGCAAACTGCTTCCTTGTGTGACAAGATGAGAAAATCAACAAGCCAGAATCAACAAAAATCCAGATTATAATTTGCTAAATTACACTGGGAAAAAATAATAATTTTTGAAGACATGTCCTGTGGTCTGATGTGTGAAGTGTTACAGTTGAAGGACAAAGGGGAAAATTCACAAGCCTAGGAACACCATCCCAACTGTGAAGTATGGGGGCAGCAGCATCATATTGTGAGGCTGTGTTGCTGCAGGAGGGACTGGTCTACTTCACAGCATAGATGGCATCATGAAGAAAGAACATTATGTAGATACACTGAAGCAACATCTTAAGACATCAGCCTTAAAACTTGGCCACAAATGGGTCTTCCAAACGGACCATGACCCTAAGCATACTGCCAAATTAGTTAAAATGTGACAACAGAGTGAATGTTTTAGAGTGGCCATCACAAAGCCCGGACCTTAATACTAGAAAATTTGTGAGCAGAGTTGAAAAAGCTTTTGCGAGCAAGACAGCCTACAAATCTGACTCAGTTACACCAATTCTGTCAGGAAAAATGGGCCAAAATTCAAATTGTTGTGAGAAGCTTGTGGAGGGATACCCAAAACATCTGACCAAAGTTATACAGTTTAAAAGCAAAGCTAAAAAAAAAAAAACAAGGAAATGTATGTAAACTTTTTACTGTTTAGAAATTAATTAAAAAAAAATCTCAACAACAACAACAAAAAAACTCTCATTATTCTGGCATTTAGCAAATGCAAATTATTTAGGTAATCCTAACAGACCTAAATAGTAAACGTTTAGTTTGATTTAACATCAGACATTTTAAAAAAATGTTTATGCTCTTTTCTTTAGAGAGTATGTAAACTTCTGGTTTCAAATGTATGTCTTATGGATGTTGTTAGATTTGAGTCTGCTTCAACAGATTAGTATCAATTTAAGGCTATTTTGTTTAAATCCATAGACCAAAACAGTCATTGACAAGCTGCAGAAGTTGGTCTCGTCTGAAGGAAGGTTCAAGAACCTCAGAGAGGCCTTAAAAAAGTAAGTTTTCTGAAGTAAGTTTTATTTTTATTTTATTTTGTTATAACAATGTCTAATATTTTGCTTCTTATGTGCGTTTTTTCAGTTGTGACCCTCCCTGTGTGCCATATTTGGGAATGTATCTCACTGACTTGGCCTTTATTGAGGAGGGGACGCCCAACTACACAGAGGACAACCTGGTCAATTTTTCCAAGATGCGAATGGTGGGTCATTTGTTTTTCTTTTAATATGTCTGTGTATTTAATGCATATGGGGGGGGGGGGGGGGGGATAGTCACAGGTAGTATTTTGTTTACTCCTTTTCTGCATTTTACAGATTTCCCATATCATCCGAGAAATCAGGCAGTTTCAGCAAACGGCGTATAAGATTGATTACCAGCCGAAGGTATTAAACTGTTATTGGTTTGTGCTGGCAAAGTACAGTTAGTAGTTATAAAGTTTGTTTTGTTCTGTATTTAGAGGAAACAAGCTATTTAATCATAAAATCTATTTGACTTCCAACTTTTACCTACAAACTAAAATAAAAGGCTTAATTTAAAGGAATGTCTATTAATAGATATCATAATTATTGTTTTAACAATGTGCAAATTTATAAACTCATTTTCATCTCATTACTTCCAGCCACAGGCAGTTTTTAAAATTATATTAAAAAATAAACTTTCAAAATTGCTTAGAGTTTACAACTATACATAAAGCAATGAACATAATAAGGTTATAAAAATGCTCTTTAAAAAATAAAAATACAAACTGAATCCGATTAGGTTACCTTCGGTAAAAAAAAGAATTTGATAAGGAATTAAATTGTTTAAAGAATGTTTTCTTGTATCTAACTTTATATCCTACAATTCTAAATGTATTTATTTACTTTTCTGAGGAAAACAAATAGTTATATTTATATTATATATGGTATGAATTATTATTATGATTATGCTAATGATTAAAAATGTATAATATTGTGACATTATAATATGTAATCTAGGCCATAAAATAAGATCTTTCAATGTTATTAGCGTTATTTTTTTTTTAAGTATTATATTGTCTAAAAAAATAATTACTGCTTTCTGCTTTCTTTAATGAGCATTGTTGACACTGTAGTTGAGGATTGCCTTGAATATGAATCTGACTCTGTGTTTGTCTTACAGGCAGCACTATATTTACTGGACAGAAGCGCAGTAATGGAAGAAGAAGGCCTGTATGAAGCCTCTCTCAGAATTGAGCCTAAAGTGCCCAACTGAGAGAGGCTCTACTAGACATCCACACAATGTACAGACACTACGCTCTCGACAGTAAACATCCATGTGTTCTGTTCTGTAACATGATTATTACTCCTGGATGTGTTTTCTTGTTTTTAGTCGTAACCAAATGTTGCCTAATTGTTTCAGAACTTTCACCGAGGACTTACCTGTTGATTTCAGCCTCTGTTTTTAGAAATTCATATTCCTTCCCCTTCCAAAATATGATTTACTTCAGTACAGGATACACTGTAAATGCATAAATGAGCAGTTTTTTGTATTTCTGATTCATAGATTTTTATTTATTTATTATTTTAATTGCATTACAGGACACTAATCTTTCCTCCAACAACTTTTGAAGTTGAAAAGTTGGAAGAAAAAAATTGCATTTATTGACATTTTTAATAGTTTGAAGAGAGGTATTGTCTGGACTGGTTTGGTAAATTATGGTAGAAAAGCCTGATAATAAACTACCAGTACTTTCTTCTGTTATGTTACTGACGCAATTCTTAATAAATATACTATTTATTATACAATACACTACTTCAAACTACTAGAATGTCAATGAAAGTCACTTTGTTAAAATGCAGAGTTAAATTTTCAGCATCAAAAGTTGACGATGCAGAAATCAAGGTCTCATAATCCAATTCAATTATAAACAGAAAACACTAGCGAATCAGAAAATATGGAAACTGTTCTTTTTTTTTTTTTTTTTTACAGCGTGATTAATTTCAAGGTGTGGTTGTTTCTTTAATTGATCAGGCTCATCCACATCACCTTAATGAAATGTGAAAAGCCAGCAGGAGCTTTTTGAGATTTTACTAAATGCATGTAACTAATTTACGGTATATGCAAACCATGTAGCAATGTGGAAAGCAGATATATTATTGTATACAACCAAGCGTATAGAAACTTATACTGTTATACTATTATATTCCATATCACTGTACTTAGCTGAACCATTTTTACATCTATTGGTTGCGATAATTAACGTCCAATACCCGATTTCACAAAGAGCTTGTTTGGACATGCCTAAAATGCCATGACATGTCTTATTAAGTAATTAAAATATGTTCAAAAGATATGGGATGTCTCTACTATTGGCCATTTGAGATTTTGATCTGCTCTTGCATGGGAAGTTTGTTCATTTAAATGCAAAGAAGTTTTTTTTTTTTTCTAATGATTTCCTCAGCGAAAACTATTGGATCAGCAGTATGTTTCTAGTCATTGTTTACCCATTAATGTTTCTGTTGTTCACAGCCACATTTCTCAGCATTCTAGGGGAAAACAAAAGGTATTCTGGGTTTAACACTATCCTTCTACACCAGTTTATCCAGCTATTGTACATTTACAGACAATCTATGTCCTTCTTGCTGTTCCAGTGATTGTGGAACGTGACTGAATATCACTTTGTAAAATGCATTGTCGTTTAAGAGTATGATCAAAAGTGAATGACCTTCCCGCTTGCAGCATACAAAGGGTATTTTTGTAGTCCTAGAATAAAGACGTAGGGTTCTGCATCCTTACCTTAAAAAAAGAAATAAAATAAAAAAAAAAGACAGTAGAAACATTTTTGTACAAACATTGTCAACTCGCCACACAGAAAAGTATTCTGTATATTTTGTACATGCAGCCCTATGTATTTCTTAACATGTACTAGTTTAAAGCACACCTCTTAAAAGCGTTGTATCCTATGCTTACACACTCAATGCTATATGATTTGTGATTTTTGAAACCATGATCTAGAGGTAGAGGACTTTAAAGTGTTTTTGCATATACTGTAATCCTGTCTATAATCATTCTCTTAGCAGGAATATAGTAATGTAGTGCTTATTCTGTGAATATTTGTATGTATTTTTACTATGTACAGTCTGGAAACACACTAAACGCTCACGTGGCAGGCATGCAACACTGTATCAGCCAGAAACTTTAAAAACAAGACTATATATATATATATATATATATATATATATATATATATATATATATATATATATATATATATATATACTGTATACAAATCTATGTGCACATACTCTTATAAATGATATATAAACAAACAAACATTTTGCTGTTAGCAATACCCAGTGGTATGAGAATTATCTTTCAACCCTTACGTTTATTTCCACGGCTCGGGAAATATTTCCAGTTTTGTACAAAAAAGATAAATGAACAGAAAAGAAAAAGAAAGAAAATTAAATAAACTGTATGTTTCCTGATTACCTCTTGCTAATAAATCTATTCTATCTCAGGGGGATATTGCTTGCTTGTATGTGGTTTTTGTCAAGCTCACTTCATTTTTGCCTGATGAAATACTGGGTCATATTAAGAAGAATTATGCAGGCCACATTTATTAACTATTTACACCCTTTTTTGTCTTCATTTATTTTTGATAATTTCTGGTTGTATTAATTGTCCTATAAAACATAATAAGCATTAACAGCATAAATTGTACCTAAATATATATTTAAATCTAAATTGTAATGTATATTAGTAAAGAATTATAATACATTATAATTGTAATCTTTCATTCTTATTTTTTCAATCTATTTTACAAATATCCACAATAAGAAAAAATATGAGTTGATAAAATATACCCACTAAAAGTCTAGTATTAATCCAAAGTTCATGTTTATACAAGAAAAATGCATTACATTCTTTGTAAATGCACTTTTATTTGATTGACAATTTTGAAATATTTAAATGTAACATTTGTACTTTTTTTGCATTGTTCTTTTCCATTTTAGATGTTTCAGCTTTGAGCACAGCAAGTCAAATGAACAAGATTTTAATATTTATGTAAGTATAAGTATATGGTGCGTGCATTAGTATGGATATTGTAGTTTTTTTATTTATTTATTTAGCAATAATGTAAAGAATCAAAAAAGTTATAGACTATTGGGCAATTTTATGGAAAGATAGAACTAAATTGAAGCTCACAAAAACCCTAGTTATCCTATCTAACCCTGTGCAAATTTGCTTTCATTTGTTGCCCAGTTTGTTTTGAAATGTATTTGATTTGAATTAAAAAATAATAATAATAAAAAATTGCACCGTTTCTTTTTCCTTTTGAAATAAGAAAGTGTACAGAAAGGTTAAAATTTATGTTTGTGCTGCCTTACATACAAAAGTATCAAATGGGCTATGCAAAGAGTGAATGAGACATTTATAAATAGCTTACATGCGTATTGCCTAATCTGGACATGGCATAATCATGTGCTGTTTATGGTCCTTAATGTTGTAAACAATACGGCCATTTTTCAAAAACAAAAGTGGTAAACGTGCCCTTTTGAGATGCCTTAAGCCAAGTAAAAATAAATATTTGGTCATGTGATCATCGTGCATCAGTGAAGACGCGCTCTCTGAACGATACGCTTTGTCTGAGCGTCGTTTTGCAAATATATATGAGGTATGAGGTATATCTCAAAATGCCCTTAATTTGGTTTGCATGAAATAATTAGTAAAACAATTTTAGTGCACTTTAACCCGCAGAGCAGCGGCCAGTGAAGGTCCTCCCCCAGAAAGAAGGAGGAGTTGGGGCTCATGTGAGCACATCTCGCTACTGTACCGGTGTTATTGTTCACAGGACAGGAGAGAAGATGAACAGGCTGATTTTAGCGGTCCTGTTCGCGGTTCTCTATCAGGTACTTGCAGTTCCGTTGTACACCGAGGAAGGTAAGGTATCAGCCAACTCTTTTGACCTTGTTTTCTTTCCACGTAGACTACTGTACGTGCGCTGCTGCGTCGTAACGTTACTTTCGCTTTCGACTTATTTTGCGTTTAATATGCATGTTACGTTAAAAATCTACAGCTATAATGATATATTACATATATAACATTTAAAATAGATTTTGTGGAGATAATTACTCGTGTTAAATGAATAAAACAGAATGTGATTTGCATAAGCAGTGTCCATACATTTTTACAAACATCACTATTATTTGTTACAGATGAGTATCATTTCAAATCATGGATGTCTCAGGTAAGACTCAATTGTTTTGTAACTTCATGTCACAACCCAAGGGAAATTAAGGCGACTCTGAATTAAGGAAGTAAGGTTATGAGGAAGAAAAGTCTAACTCCATGTTTTCTTTTCAAATTTGCAGTACAATAAAAAATATGAGATAAATGAATTTTACCAGCGGCTGCAGATATTCCTGGAGAACAAGAAGAGGATTGACCAACATAATGAAGGAAACCACAAGTTTTCAAGTAGGACAATTACAATGATTTCCCAGAAGTCTGTTTGTATTTGATGTAAATACATTTACATATAATGTTTCTCTTTTTACAGTGGGACTGAACCAGTTTTCAGACATGACCTTTGCTGAATTTAAAAAGACTTACCTCCTGACGGAACCCCAGGTACTATTTTTAACAATATCTCGTGATCAACGAGGAAATAGGAAAGTACCACAATTCTTCAGCATTTTTTTCACCACCTCACAGAACTGTTCAGCCACTAGAGGGAATCATGTGAGCAGTAATGGGCTTTACCCTGATGCTATCGACTGGAGAACCAAGGGACACTACATTACTGATGTCAAGAATCAGGTAGCTTGCAACTGTTGCTCTAATAACTGTCTATTGTCCATATAATGTTTAAGCTGGTTGTTAATTCAGGGCACTACTTTCAGGGACCCTGCGGGAGCTGCTGGACTTTTTCCACCACAGGCTGTCTGGAGTCTGTCACTGCTATCGCCACAGGGAAACTCCTGCAACTAGTATGTAGATGTTGATTCAATATGATATTGGTAGTGAGCATTCATTATTAGATGTTAGTAATAATATAATTAATAACATTTTAATTTAGTGTCTTAATTTAGTTCATCTTAATTTAGTGCCAACATTAAAATAATAATTCCTTTTTCCTGCCCTCTAGCTTGTGTAAGCAAACCCTAAATAATACATTCATAATATATCATATAATCTATACAAATCACTGCACAGGGGGTTTTCAACCAGAGGTCCAGAAACAACCACAGGGCCCCAAAAAACGAACTTGTTTAAATCAATACAAGCAAGATTAAAATAAGTATAAATAAATAAATAAAAATTCAGTGTTAAAATGATCTAGTAATTGAAAAGTTCAGATGCAAAAACCTCTAAATGCCGACTGAAATCGTAAAAAATCGTAATTTTTCTCAACCTCTATTGTAATTATGTTAAGTTATTTCACTTGAAAGGTAATGAAAAAAACTTATCTGTCACTATAGATGTAAACTTACTGAGCCAGATACCAGATAAAAAAATATCAAATGACTTTTAGAGGATTTTGCATCTAAACTCTTCAATTGTAATCATTTTACAGGGTGTCCGCGGAGTCATGAAATGTCGTAAATTTCAAAAGATTAATATTAGGCCTTAAAAAGTCTTAAATTCACTGAAATATTCTGCCGTAGGTATAAATCATTTTAAACAGGTATTAATTTACCTATGTCCAGGTAAAGCTAACCTATCTGGCCAACACATGACACATCCCTTTATGTAATCTTCCATTTATACAAAAACTAATTACAGACGTAAGTGGGCCATTAGAAAAAAAAGCTTAGTGTTTAGCTCTGTATAAGTCTGAAATTGCATTCATAATGGTCTTAAAGGAGTCTTAAAAAAGACTGATTTGAAGAAACCTGCATAAACCCTTTTTTAATTAATGTGATAATTATGACGAAAGTGGATTCCAAGAAATTATTCACAATTAAATGAATAAAACATGAAAAAGGAAGTACAAAGTAGATCAAAATGAAAAATAATTAGATTCAATTAATAGGTTAACACTTGTGTAATTAATATTTAGATTAATAATTAAACAGATAAAGTATTATAAGGAGTAGGTAAAAATCTATCAAATACTTTTCAAATAACATTTTATAACAGTTTATTATATTATTTTGTTGGATCTTAATTCTACAAACTAAACAGAATAATTTAGCTACAATTGCAGTTGAAATGCAATGTATTTATATTTTCACACACACACACACGCACGCACGCACACACACACACACACACACACACACACACACACACACACACACACACACACACACACACACACACACACACACAATTCTTCTGTTTTCAGTCTTTCTTGAAAAATACTTCTAATATGCTGGTCAAGATATCTTATAATTTTTAATCTTGAATTATTTAAGTATTGAGTTGCTAATATTTTTTTGCATATTATTATTATTTAGAATTTTTCATTAAATTTATGCAGCCATAAACAAAATAATGTTCTTTATTCTAACGGTCCCCTTCAAACATCTGAATGATTTCTATTTTTTAATTTTTACTTTATTTTCCAAACATTTCACTGGTTATATAAAACCCCAGTTTATTGTGTCTGACCACTTCCTGTTTCTGCATTGTTTTACAGGCAGAGCAGCAGCTTATAGATTGTGCAGGTGATTTCGACAATCATGGTTGCAACGGGTGAGTTTGATCAAAGAAGGTGTCACATTTCAAAGTTATCTGTGCTGATTGTGTTGAGTTGGACATTAAGGTTTTAAGAGTAAAGTCTAAAAGGGATAAACAACCTTTTAATCTTGTCACATGCTTTTTAGAGGACTCCCGAGTCATGCCTTTGAGTATATCATGTACAACAAAGGTCTTATGACAGAAGATGATTATCCCTACCAGGCTAAAGTGAGTACTTTACTCTTTTTTTTTTCTTACTGTTTTTAAAGGATCACTTATAAAGTCATGTAACCCATGCTTGTGTTTAGGGGGGTCAATGTAGATTCAAACCACAATTGGCTGCAGCTTTTGTGAAGGAAGTTGTAAACATCACAAAGGTAATTGATGGCGCATCTACAAGTATTAAACATTTGGTATGTCTGATTCTAATTGTGAAATTATGTTATTAGTATGATGAAATGAGCATGGTGGATGCAGTTGCCAGGTTGAACCCTGTCAGCTTCGCATATGAGGTGACATCTGATTTCATGCACTACAAGGATGGAATTTATACCAGGTTGGGATGAAATATGTATTTTCACTTCTATATTTTGGCATACATTTTAAAGTGCTTCATGATATAGCGCTACTTGAATAATAGCAAAGAGCTTAGAATCACCAAGAGCTGGCACTCAATAGAACGTTCCATTGCAACAGCAGCGCACAGCAGCAGCCCCGGATTCCGCCATTTTGGATTGAAAGCGATCGGCTGTCTATTATATCTTATTGCTGTTGCAATGACAAGCTGCTGCTTTTTTTTTTTTTTTAAGTGCATTAAAGCTGAGATACAACCTGAAAAACTACAATACAACACTTACTATCACAATCATCAGCACTTTTAATAGTCTATTTTACATACTTTTAATATGCTGTTGTTCTATTGGAATTTTCATTTCAAAATGGCCGTGGGGGCATCTAGTGGCTGTTTCCCAAATCGCACTAGAGTGTCACCTCTTGGTGATTCTATGCGCTTTGATAATAGTGCAAAAAATGTGCATCTAGTCAGTTATTATTCAAAGACGTTGTGAGAAAAAACAATAAATATCACGTCACAAAACAATTAATGTCGTACATATTTGAGATTTCCAACTTGGGATCATATGTGGAGAACATAGAAAATTCATATTTTGTTCATATTTTCTTACAAAATTAATTTTCTCACAAAATTCAAAATAATACAGTTTAGAATGTCATAATAACTGACCAATCAGAATCAAGTATTCCAGATAGCCATGTCATAACATATAATAAACATAATTTTATATATTAATTTTGTGTCAGTTCATGGAAATATATGTAACATGTTATAACTGTTTTACAGCACTGAGTGTCACAACACTACTGACATGGTAAACCATGCTGTGCTCGCTGTGGGTTATGCTGAGGAGAATGGAACGCCATACTGGATCGTGAAGAACTCCTGGGGAACCAACTGGGGGATTAAAGGGTCTGTTTAAATTTTTTTTAAATATCGTGCTATGCTATAAGGTAAGAATGGTTGGTTTTAAAGGTGCTGCATGTAAGTTTTTGACTCTTTTAAAGCATAAATTTACCATAATGTTTGCAGATATTTAAGAAACATGCCAAGTGAAAATTCTTGCTTTTCTAAAAGAAAAATTCTGTTGTTCAGCTGCAAGAAATAGAAGCCATTTCTAACATATCAATTGGAGGTGCTGGTTAGGACAAAAACTTCTTTTAATATAGAAAATATTCATACTATCGCATATCGTTGCTTTAATATAGAGCACGGTTTAAATCCACTTTTAGTCTTGATCGTGAGACTTGCTCCGTTTGGTCCTCAATCTGGCAACCTGCACTTGTGTTTGTTTTGATCCAGGTACCTAGTTCAGCCACTGGGTGTCAAACTTACATGCTGCACCTTATAAGGACTATTTTATGAAGCTTTAAAACCTTTACAAATCTTTTGTTTTAAATCAGTGGTTTGGAGCACGTATCAGTTTGGTAAGGTCGCTTTATTTCAGTAAACAGGGCATCATAATTGTTTTAAAATGTCTTAAAAATTCAATGGTTGTCCTCTGGCAGTGATCTGTGTAACACCATAAAACTCACATGAATCATCCAGGTTTAATCAGATTGATTCTAAATGGTGAATCACTTAACATGTTTCACTGGTTTTGATTGATTGTCTAGATTGTAGACATTTTAGTGAGGCATTTCATTCATTAATTTTCCTTTAGCTTTGTCCCACTTTTCATCAGGGGTCACCACAGTGGAATGAACCGCCAGCTTATTCAACATATGTTCTACACAGTGGATGCCCTTCCGGCTGCATCCCAGTGCTGGGAATCATCCCTACACACTTTATCAGACACACACACACACACTTTACAGCCAAATTTAATTTATTCAATTCACCTATTGCGCATGTCTTTTTGACTGTGGGGGAAAATTGAAGCACCTGGAGGAAACCCACGTGTATGAACACGGGGAGAACATGCAAACTCCACACAGAAATGCAAACTGACCCAGCCAGGACTCGAACCAGCGACCTTCTTGCTGTAAAGCTTACCACTGCATTTAATGGTATTAGATGATAAGCTAAGAGCTTTTATAGATTAGATTTTAAATTTAAAGTTTACATTATGCATGAAAAAATGTCCTAATGCAGGTTTTTGTTGAATTTACATGGTTTTGACCAGCAGGTTTCATTAGCATATGGTGTTTCAAACTTTTTTCACCCATCATTACTGTTGTTGACCTTATTCTGCGATGTGGAAGTGTCTGCGATCAGAACTTCTGATTCCGTTGCTTATGGGAGAAATTACTAAGAATAATAATTGGCAGAAAACCATCAATCTACTTGCTCTACAAATGTGTGTTTATAAAAAGTAGAAGAACATAGTAAGAAAATATCAGTTTGCTACATCAAGCAGCGTAAGGAGCTGTTTTTATCATCTTAAAAAGAATGTAAGTGAATGAGACCGGAAGTCTAGAGGCAAGATGACTGCGACCCGCTTGTACTTAAGGAATAAGGTCAATAAGGTTGAAAAATAAGATTGCAGTTAAATATGACCATCTGACCAAGTTATGTGTAATTTTTAAAAATGATCTTTTTTCTCTTCAGATATTTCTACATTGAAAGAGGAAAGAACATGTGTGGACTTGCTGCGTGTTCATCCTATCCTATACCTTTGGTGTAAACAAAAGAAACGCATGAAAAGGGAGACTTTTTGTTTTTACATATTTCTACTCTCACACAAAATCATTTTATGCACAATAGTGTCAGTGATGAGCCATTATAGTCAATACTAGTTTTCATGAAATCAGATAAACACTTATTTTATTTTTATATGTGCATTGATTTAAAACATACAGTAACGCACACTCGATTAGCCTCCAATGTAGTCACTGTTGAAGGAGTTTACTTTGTTAACATTCAGATTTTGTGTTTTTGATGTTTGCATCAAAAAGTATTGTACTGAAATAAATATTTTCTCAGGGATTGCTTTTGTGTCTATTCTTTAATGAATAATTTTGTACCTGCATATTGGTGTTTAACCATAGAAAAGCTTCATTAAAATGATGATATACAGTTGATGGCAAAATTATTAGTCCTATTATTAGTCCTATTATTAGCGCCGTTTAATAATGATAAGATTTTGTAACCTAATAGTTTTGATTTTGTTATTGCCTAAATTAAAATAGATAATATTTTTTATTTACTAAAACACTATTCAGCTTAAAGGGCATTTTAGAGACTTAACTGTGTTTTTTGATTAACTAGGAAAGTTTAATTAGCTAAGTCATTGTATAACAGTGGTTTGATCTCCAGCTAACAGAAATAAAAATAAGTTGCTAATAATATTGACCTTAAACATAAGGATTAAAAAACGCATTTATTAGAGCCAAACTAACTGAAACAAGACCTTTTTTTCCATAAGAGAAAATATTACATAATGTCAAAATGCATATCGTTTGGAGCATATCACTCTGCCTTTGTTAATTTTTTAAATAATTTTTTGTGTACTTTGTTGTGTTATTTGGTTCACAAGTTATTAAACTGATATGGTCAGATCTAGACGTGAAGAATATGAAATTAAATGCAATTCTCCCCACAGCCGGTGAGTGGCAACCTTTCTACATGTTAGTATTTGGACGAACACACCATACACCAGAGAGGAAGCAAATGCTCATGTGCTTATATAATCAACTTTAAGACCAAACTGAAAAAATTGAATGAACAAAAATGGCCAGCTAATAAATAACATTACTACAAACCAATTTTATACTGGGTGTCGCGAACAAGCCTGGAGGCGGAAGTGATGTTATTGGCAGATGACCAATGAGAGAGCGAGTTGCAAATACGCGGTAAGCACAAGTTTTCAGCGGTGTTTTGGTGGCGTTGTGTGCTGTGTCGGAATATCAGTTTTTTACTTTTTGTGGAGGTTATTTCGGTGTTTTATAGATTTGATGTTTGCACGACGGCAAAACGTTACGGTGTGACTGTGTTTTGAATAGTCAAAAATGTTTATTTTAACGGAGCATGTCTGCCTTTATTTGTGTGTTTGTGTTTGTTTGTGGGGTTGATTGAATGGCAAACATACGGACTTTGAGGATTTATATGTGATATAATTGTACAAAAGATGTCGAGTCTTCCTCAAAACAACCTGAAGGAGCATCTGGAGCGACACAACAATGCTGCCCAGAACAAGCTGTCACTGCTCAAACCAAAGCCTGGGTGAGAACATTACTAAATATACTGAGATAAATATCATATAACGTTAGGTAACGTTACAGCATAAAAATAGTCCGAAATCAGAGTCTGCAATAAAGTTATCTCTCTGTCTTGCTTTGTCTAGCTGTCAATGTCGTCTTTAACGACTCACTAATGAATTTTTGTTCTGTAACGTTAACGTTTCTTCTATCTCTATCTTTGCGACAGCTTTAACGTTATTTTTATTAAACTTTGTGCATTAATCAATAACACACACGTAACGTTACACGTAGTTCCTTCGACCCTTGTGCATATCAAATTTACATGTAAAAATGTACATGTTATTTTTACAGTGTCCTTGTTACAGCATAACTATGCATACAACGTCTCAGTATGTGTAATGAGTAACTTTGTGATATTGATCTGCATGCGTTTGTTGTATGATTAGGTTTAGTTATTTGTAATTATTTATGCATAATGTATAGATATGGTCCATAAGTGATGAATTTGTAACAATGACACAGTAAAAAAAATAAATGAAGTGTTTCCAAACGAATGGTAACGTTAAATACAAATTTCGCATGCAAATCATATTTTGATTTCTATGCCAGTACATCTACAATTTTATAATCAAGTTGGCCTGCTGTGTTCAAAAACAAAAAAGAAACAACTACAGCAACAAAAAAGGAGGAAAAAAGCTAGCAATTTTTTTTCTATCGACCAAACTTTACAGATGAAAAAAAACGTTTTTACAGAAATCTTTCCATCAAAATAAGGCTGGAAAAGGCTGTTAACAAACGATACATTATTTTTATGTTTAAACAGTACTGGTATCATACTTTGCTGTTTTAATGGGTTTCAGTGAAAACATAATTTTTGCCCTTAAAGTCCTTTTTAACAATTTTTTGTACATGGTGTAAAATAGATTTGTAAAATTAATATAAATATGTATAAGGAAAAATAAAAATTGTTCTTAAGGACAGACAATGGTTGATATGAAACCTAGCTGATGTAACTAATTTCTGAAAATCCTGTCTGTTCAGGGGGTTTTGCTTCAAAAAGAAGTCTTCGTCAGGCATCTCCAAAGTGGAAGTTCCTCAAAAGGTAACTGGTTCAAGTGTCTTAGCAAACAGGAGTGTCAATATTCCCAGCAACTTTGAAGTAACCAAAAATCCTGTGACGTTTTCGCAAAAGCCAGAGAGAGTGGCACCGAAAGTCAACTTCTTCACTGCGCCCAGCAAACCGAAGACAAATACAGTTAATCCACTAGCAAACCCATTCGCTTTGAACAAAACCCCTCTTGTCCAATCTACCATTAAGGCTTTGCCCAAATCTGCAGCCTTGCCTAAGGACTCAACTAATGATCAAACTGTGGAGCTTAAGCATGACATTTCTCAACTCTCATTCAATGAATGGGATGACTTGGATGATTTTGAAACTCCAGTCAAGAGCAGAGTAGCATCCCCAGTTGCAGGGACCTCTACGAAAAAGCCAAGTGTATCAGACCAGAACACATCCTCAAGCTGCTCTTCTAAGTGTGAGGAGACTAAAGTAAATGAGGAGTCACAAGCTACAGAAACCATAACTGCCCCGAAGGACGTCCTGTCAGCTGCTAATGGAGTCAGCACAGAGACTGCAGAGAGAGAGCCAGAGGACTCACCCATTAAAAAGTCCAAAAGACCTAAGAAATCAGTCCAGCATACAGCATTACTTAGTGACACGGAAGATGAGGAAATAATCCACTGTGTTTCACCGGATACAAACCAGAAGAATTTCAAAAGTGTGGCAGGTCAGTGCATTTAAATTGTGTGATTTGTAATGTTGTTCTTTATTTGTTATAGAAATGGTTGATGTGTGTATGGCCTACAAGTCAAGTCATATTTATTTTGATAGGATTTTTAAAAGGTAGATTGTGACAAAGCGGTTTAACATGGATGAAGACAACTGAATGAAAAAGCATTCACACTATTTCAGATTGTAGAACATTCTAGCATGTCACAATGATACTAATAATAATCAGTTTTTGATTACAGTTGCTGAAAAAGATAAATGGGGTGAGCCAAATGTCATAGACAGTGATGACTGTGAGGAGAACAACCATTATGAAGGTTTTGAGGATTTCATCCCCCCGTCCCCTATTCCAGAAGAGATCAGTCTCTCTGTCTCAGATAAGGAGAAAAGGTGACCTTCTGTAAATAAATTAACAAATTAATTTATTATTTTTTTCTTTGGTTTTTAAGTTTATTTAACAGCTCTTTTATTTTGTAGTTCATCTGAGCCTGTTACTCCTGCTAACAAAAAAGAATCTTCTCGATCTGCCTCAGGCCTGCCAGCACCCTTGGATCAATCTGCCAAAGGATTAAAAGGTATCATTCATTAATAAATTTGAATAATTATCCTACTTTTTAGCATTCAACGAACAATTGTGTGAAACGCTGTATCTAAAATACATGTGTTGTCATTTAGGAGCTGATGACGCTCTCTTTAGTGTTATGGAATCTATCTGTTGTCTAGTGGACACTATTCCTGAGCATGAGCTCATAGCGCTGACCTGTGGGACTGAGCTTTTACTGCAGAGAGCACACAGGTAAAACAATTAAAGAGATAGTTTTCTGAGTGTATGTATGTATATATATATATATATATATATATATATATATATATATAATAAAATCTAAAAAAGTTTTACTACAATTTATTTTTTTGAATAAAGCTTGATATATATATATATATTTTTTTGTATTTTATTTAATGGGTCATAATTTTCTAGTCCACTTTGTTTCAAACCCTTAAAATTTTCTTTGTAATCTTTCTTTGAAAATTTTTACAGAGAGAACAGAATAAAGCAATACAAATGAATCATGCATTTTAATTGTTTTTTTTAAGTGTTTTGGAGAGACACAGTCATTTTATATCATGAGAAATGTACTTGTATAAAATGTGTATTGTAGCTCAGTTTGTGCTGTGTACAGTGTTATTAGACTTCAGCCACTTAAATGTCTATAAGCAACTTAAAAAAAAAAAAAAAAGCACAAATGTCAGGGCATGTCAGAACTTCTCCGGGCCCCAAAACAACCTTAGACGACAGAGGGATATAGTGATAGTTCAAAAAACAGTTACTATTGACTTCTACTCCTACTATGAATGTCTGTGTTTACTGGTCTCCAACTTTCTTCAAATGATCTTCTTTTGTGTTCACCAAGACTGGTTTGGAACAAGTAAAGGATGACTGAATTTTCATTTATGTGTGAACTGAATATGAATGTAGGCCTTACAGGTTTTAGATGACATAAAGATGAACTAATTATTCAAAAGTATTACATGTTTAGCTTGCTGTCATATATCTGAATGAAATAGTAAAATTTTCTACTTTTTAAAAATAATGCTAAATCCCCACAAAGCAGGTTAGCTTTATATAACATTACCACATGTCTTTGTCTTTACCACAGGAAAAGGATTCTTGCTAAAGGTGGGTCATCTAGAACATCTCATTCTGACTCAGTATCAACTCCTGGTTTCCTAAACAGACCTACGTTTGGAGTTACACCCTCCAATCTGACATCCCTGACCCCGGTAACTTCAGGAAAAAGAGAAGGTGTCAAAACTGGCTTTTCTTTTCGCAAATCCATTGCCTCTGTCATGTCTGTGGGTGATGAGAGTGTTTTTGAGGATTCTGACTGCATCATAAATGGAGTCGAAACACCTGGTGGTACCTGGAATCCTAACAGCTCCACTAAAATATCAGCTGGTAGGGATACCTTTAACGGGTCAATCCAAACTTTAAGCAAACCTGAGTCAAAGACAGATAAATGCTACTCAAGGTTGTCCTTCAATGAGTCAAGCAATCAGACTGACCTGTTTTATTCCCCCAAGAGAGTGGATTCAGGCAGCAGAAATGCTGACAGCAGTGTTGAGATCAACATTGCAGGATCCAGCTCTTTACGAACAGGAGCAGAGCCAGTTGATGATTTTTTACTCGATGACTTCGATATTGATGATTTTGATGAGAATGATATTCCAGATTATTATGAAGAACCTCCAAGTGTCTTGGAATCAAGAAATAACTCTGGTGTAAAAACACCATCAGTACAGGAGGGAGGATCATCAAAATCTTTTGAGAGGAAGACATTCACACCACCAGCACCAAAGTCTATTAAAACTCCCAACCCAGGTAACTGTGTAATATATTATCTTTCGTCATTTTGTAACTTAAAGACCTCAAAAAGGACTTGATGTTCATTGTTCTAAAACATGTGTTTGCTTTGATCTGCAGAACCTTTGTACAGGAACCCAGCTCATGACCGCTTCAGAGGCTTTAACTTTCCTCATAGCCCAGAGATGATGAAGATCTTCCATAAGAAGTTTGGACTTCATCAGTTCCGCTTTAACCAGCTGGAAGCTATTAATGCCTCGCTGTTAGGAGAAGACACATTTGTATTGATGCCTACAGGTTAGTATTATAGCAGCATTAATAAGGTAGATTTGAAATCCCAGTTTGTTGTGTGTTGACTACACATGCAGTTTATTTCTTGCAGGTCTACATATTTTACAGTATACTTTTTCATGTTAATAAAGCAATAATTATAAAATATAAACACACACTGTTCTATTAAAAAAAAAAAAAAAAAAAAAAAAAAAAAATATATATATATATATATATATATATATATATATATATATATATATATATATATATATATATATATATGTGTGTGTGTGTTAATAGATTTTTTTAAAATAAAAATATTAGATACATCATAATTGCACCAATGCACTTTGGTTCACTCTCTGTATGAAGCAGGTCGCGCGCCAGAAGCGTTGCTCGGTGACACGCCGCGCAGTTCATATTTCAGCCGTTTCAGACGTTTCATGTTGAATATCATGCGAATGTGTGCGTCTGGTGTGTGATACTTTAAACTGTCATGTGCACGCCGTGTTGCGGCGCTTCTGGTGTGCGACCTGCTAGAATGCCTGTCTGGATTTTAATCATGGTAGAGACGGATTGAACACAGAGATTAGACAGCCTATTTAACCCTATTTAAGCTGCTTTTTAATCTCAACTTGATCTCTCAACTCGATCTCTTAACATGTATGAAGGACATAAACACCTGCCATGTGAAAAACCGAACCGATCTTATAGTTCGAACAGTGCTGATCTTAGCTTGGTTTGAACACGAGCAGAGGTGAGCTGCTGTAGCAATGAAAATAAAAATACCCGCCCCCATGACGCCCCCCTAGTTGAAACCCAGACATGCAGTCAGGCAGCATAATACAGAGAGTGGTGCAAAGTGCATCAAATTATCGCTATTTAAAAAGGGAAAAAAAAGAAAAATAGAATAAATATATGATTTTATATTAGACACATCTGGTGCTTGTATTTGCTCTTGCTACACTTCCATAACTTCACGCATTGGGTTAAATTAGGCTTTACAGTTTCCATGTTCAGTCCTTTACTTCCACTGTATCTAAGGCAGCAGCATTACAACCATTCAATCAGAAAACAAAGTCAAAGCCGAGCTGACAGCCAATCTTTCCTAGACTCAGCAAAACTTGCACAAAATACCTCTGTATTCCTGCAACTGCAATATTTACACAAATATATATTTTTTAAATCTTCTGCAATGATATTTAACTTGTGAATTTGTTTTACATTTATTTACACCTTTTTGACCAATTTATGTATGGCATGGCCATTAAAAATACAATGTTCCTTAACCAGATGGTTTTTCAAGTTACTTAAAAAAAAACTGTTACTTCAGTCATGTTGTTGTAATGTTTTAAGTTGACTAGTTACACAATAAAAAATTAAAAAAAATTGAAATTGTGAATCGGTCAAACTTTTAAAAAAAACTAGATTTTTTTTTTGCCAAATCGCCCAGCCCTATATATATATATATAATTAGTATTTTTTATATAAGCACTAAATATTTTAGTCAGAGGGCGGAAGATGTATAGAACATTGTGTGCAACCATCTCAATTTCTGTTCCTTTATTTTCAATGTTTTTATTTGACAGCAGTATATCTAAAGTGTTTTCTGATGATTAAATTCTACAATGTAAAATTAAAAATTTCATTTTCCAGGTGGTGGTAAAAGTCTCTGTTATCAGCTTCCTGCTTGTGTCTCTGCTGGGGTGACTGTAGTCATTTCTCCTCTACGCTCTTTAATAGTTGACCAAGTACAAAAACTCACCACGTTAGATGTAAGTCCTCCTTTTTTATGCCCAGTCATTTTATCTTCTCAATTGCAACAGTTTGCTTACTTTTGCAGTTTTTTGTTACAGATCTGTGCAACTAGTTTGTCCGGGGACAAAAAAGATAGTGAGGCTGCCCGAATCTACATGCAGCTGTCCAGGAAAGATCCTGCCATCAAACTGCTTTATGCTACTCCTGAGAAGGTGCAAGTCTAAAGCCAGCCCAGTCTTTCAAGTATCACACAAACTGAATGTCCTTCTCAGTGTTGATGAGCAAAATCTTTGTTTTTAGGTTTGTGCAAGTGGGCGGATGATCAGTGCACTTCAGAATCTGTATGAAAGAGGTCTGCTGGCTCGCTTGGTCATTGATGAGGCCCATTGCGTCAGTCAGGTATACCTTATAAATGATACATTGTATTGTGTAATGAAAACTGTTTAATTCATGTGGTTTGATTAGTAAATACTACAATAGTTGTATTGGGAAAAACTCACTGGCAGAAGCTCACTGTTTCTGATGCTAGAACTACTGGATGAATATTAAATTCAGGGTGTTTAATTTTTTTTTTTTTTTAAGTATCTGTAAGCTGGGACCATTGTCTTCAGACATTTTAATATTGCATTTGTTTTTAGATAATCTCTGTTAAAATGCATGATAATTACCAGCACAACAGCTTGTTTACAGCACTAACAACATAGATGCTGTTTTTTTTTTCGTTTAACCTCCAGACAGAGAGTGAATTACCATTTTTATTTAGACTTTTTAGTTTTGTACAACGTTTAAATGATTTAATGTAAAATAGTGCTAAATAATTTATAGTAATAATAATATATATTTTTAAAAATGACTTAGCAATTAGTTTCAGCCATTTTGCTTGTAAAAAAAAATCTGAAGAGTCATGGGCACAAAAGCACAACTTGTAAAAGGTTTGTAATATGCATACTTTTTTCTTCGTCAGTGGGGTCATGATTTCAGACCAGACTACAAGCGCTTGCATGAGCTCAGGCGGATGTTTCCCAATGTTCCTATAATGGCACTGACGGCCACAGCCACTCCTAGAGTTCAGAAAGACATTCTTAACCAATTGGCAATGACACGTCCTCAGGTGTAAGTCTCTTCATTTTAGTTCCTGACCATTTTTTTTTAAAGTATTTATTTATTGTAGAACATGATATTCTCATTTTTACATTGTTTGTAATTAGGGTTGGGTACCGAAACCTGGTGCCATTATAGCACCCGTACCTTGGTAACCGGTATGTACCGGTATTAAATCAGCGTATGAATTTCGGTGCTGCGGCTAAAACGTAAGCAGCATCAAAGTGGTGCATCAAAAAAGGCACACATAGGTGTTGTGTCACACCATAACTAAACATTTAATTCTGAACAACTTTGAGGAATACGAACAGGCAATATATCAGGCGTTTGTTATTGTCGCTAGGGAACAGACAGAAGTAACATAGTACAGCGCATTTAGCCTGGTTTTCGGTGAGCGAGAGTGACACTCTTCAGATCTACACGCGTGATCACGTTCATCCAATTTGCTTAAGCTAAGCATTCTAAAGCGTATTTTACAAGCAAGGATTCTTACACAGAAACTGTCTTTACAATAGTTGCGTGTAACGCCTGTTTCACACCGCAAGCGAAAGCAGTGGAGAGCAGAAGCAGCACGCAGGCGTTTGCAGAGATCAATCTATCTCTATTTCTATCTCTATGTCTATTCTATCTAGTTATGTATTTCTCTCTATATACAAATTCACTTAAAAAAAAAAACTTTTTATCTGCACTAAGGTTCGCGGAAAACTCCTTCTATGCTGTTTCTTTTAGCTGCAAGTCTTTATTTCAGAACACAATTGCCTGTGATATGTCAATTGGTTCTTGATTTTCAGGATGTTTTAGGCATAGTTATAATAATATTTATATAATATAGTCCGCTTCAGTAATGCCCAGCGGAAGAGTAACAGCTCGTGCAAAGGATGAGACGGACAAAAGTAGTCAATGCATGCCCTTCATTTACTTATTTTCGTGCTGTCAGGTTCACAGTGCAAACAGCTTTCGGGTGGAATAACTTGAGTGAACATAAAACAAAGCCGAGTAAAACTTTTTTCGTCTGCTTCAGCTTCACACACAGCACACAGCGAGCTCACATCATCCAGCATGTGTGTCGAACTACACTACCCACTTCGCTATGGACTACAACTCAACTTACAAATAGCAAGTCTTAAAGCGACTACTCCCCTCTCCTACAACACTAGCGTGCAACTTAAGCAAAACTGATACTAAAATTGTTTTACGTTTGGTTTTGTAGTTCGGGCCTAAATAAATGTTTGTTGCAGTTTTTTAAATCGTTTAAGTTCATTTGATTGACTATATATAAATCAGTTGATATTATTAACACATTTATTGGGTAAAATTGCTACTTTTTACTGTCATTCAATGTGTTTTGGTCATTATCAATGCACGAAATAAACAATAAGAAATATAACTTATTATGAGTCCAGAATAATTTTTTTTTTTTAGGAAACACTGTAAAGATTTTTCAGAAACATTATTTTAAATGAATGGGAGGGCAAAATAAATTGACTTCAACTGTAGGCCTGTTAAAGTTCACAGGTGCAACAATGTGCCTTGATGTACTTGAATGTTAGAAATGTGTTTTCCTAGATCAGTATAACGTTACTTGTCCAATAAATGAACAAGGAAGATTATTTTGAGTTTAAGTTATTTAATTATCTTGTTCATGAAGACTGCAGAGTAATGCATGAAAACAAATGACTTTGAATAATGTTTTAAGTATTTTTTGATGTATATGTTAAAATGTGCTCCTAAAAGTGTGTGGCCCCTGCCCGCACCCACAGGTTAATAGTAAGCTAATGTAATTTCACAATGCAAATCTTAAATTCATGCTAACCAACGAATGATCAAAGGAAATGTATGTAATGCAATATGAATTGATGTTTATATTAAACTGTAATTATATTGTTTTATTAAAATGATTTTTAAAAATATTTTAAAATAAAATAAATACATACTTTTAGAAAATAAATACTTTTGTAGAGTCATTCACCATCATTTTGTGGCTAAAAAGTATCGATTCAGGCACCGTTTTGGCACCGGTATCATTTTAAAAGTATCGATTTAGCACCGGTATCGAAAAAAACCAACCCTATTTGTAATATTGATACATGAATGATTTGAACCCTATCCTTTTTCTGAAATATAAAGTATCATTTAGACTGAATTAAAATTGTAACTTGTAAGTTGATTTGATTGTCCTGGCAGAAAGGAAACCATGTGTAGAGCCATTAAGTAGTTTGGGCTACTATGATATATAAAGATATAGAAAAAAATTAAGTGACATCTTGCAACTTCTGTTTTTCTGGATTTGCAATTTATAGTTATTTACAAGTGTAAACTGCTGTTTTTGTTTTGTTCTGAAACTGCTGATGACATTTCTTCCAAATAAAAAGATTATGACTATTTGTGATATAATTTTCATAGATTTAAGCAATATCTGATGGAATAATCCTGAAACATTTTTATTTTTTGTAAAAATAAAGCTCTGGCAATATTTTTGGCATTATTTGACAGTTTGGCATTATTTTTTACAGAAGAGATTTGTTCAAAAACCCTGTTATCCAGTGTAATGTGACAAGTTAAGTTTCATGACTTTTATAAAATAAGTAATTGAAGAATTCATTCATTTGTTTAAATCTTCAACTTAGAGTTTCCAAATACAAACCAAATTCCAGAATATTATAAAAATTTAAGCAAGCAATTTTAAAATGTAAACACATTTAAAAAAAACAAAGATGCCGTGTGTTCACACGTTTTTATATATTTTTAGACATCACATTGTTTCAATATGTGTATAATATTTTGAGTGAAATGTCAATATATTTTGACAATTAGTATTTTTCTTTTTTATCAGACCGTCATAAAAATAAAACAATTAACATTTTACTCAAGCACATATCTAGAAAATATTTTTCGTTTTATTCTTCAAAGAATCCTGGTAAAAACTTTTTTGTGTTTTCACAGATTTACTATGAGCTTTAACAGGAACAATCTGAAATACTCAGTTTTGCCTAAGAAGCCCAAGAAGGTTGATGAGGAATGCATTCAGTGGATTAAGAAATATTACCCACGTGAGTGCTGTCCAGATGATATCAATTTAGCTGAGGATACTTTCTCACCACAGCATGGAAACCCTATAAATCATGTTGACCGTGTGTGTAGGTGACTCTGGGATTGTGTACTGCTTGTCTCGTAATGACTGCGACACTCTGGCTGACAGTCTTCAGAGGGCAGGGATCGCAGCGCTGGCGTATCATGCTGGCCTAAGTGACAGCGACAGGGAATATGTCCAGAACAAGTGGATCAACCAGGACGGCTGTCAGGTAAGGCTCTCCATTTTTCCAAATGCTATAAAACACACTCCAGTCTTTTTTTAACCTGGCATGTTGTGTTATGCTCCCAGACATAACATCATGTATTTGTGTTTGATTTTTAGGTTATGTGCGCAACCATAGCATTTGGCATGGGAATCGATAAGCCTGATGTCCGTTATGTGATCCATGCGAGTCTCCCCAAATCAGTGGAGGGTTACTACCAGGAGTCAGGCAGAGCAGGGCGAGATGGAGAGATTTCCCATTGTGTCCTCTTCTATTCCTACAGTGACGTTATCCGCATCAAGAGACTCATTGCTAGTATGTTCTTGTTGATTTTTGTTTATTTATTTTTTACTGGACTGAATGTAACATTGATCTTTTTAATCATAAAGGATCTCTTATGGAATTAAAATTAACATGAGCAGGGCATAGACTTGTAACATACTAAATTTAAATATCACAATTGACCTTTCGCTAAGCCCCACCCTACTTAGTTAATGATGCTATGCCTGTCAAGTTTTCGTGCCTGGCATGTCTATTACAATATGTATGCGCTGGTGTGAGACATTGCGAGGGATATAATTAGTCATTTTTGGCGAACAGGTGAGATATCCGAGAAAGCCAGACAAAAAAGGACTGCAGTATGTATTACAGGGGTATATTCACCACATAATAAGGCAACCGATTAGAAAATAATTTAATTAAAATTAAAGCTAGGATAGCCTAGCCGCCTCATACGCTGACCATTCAACAACTTATTTCATGCACAGCAGGATAGGTGAAATTTAAAAATTATCTAATAATAATAAATTAATCCATGATTTCTCTTTTTTGCAAAAAAATCCTGATAGATTAATTGCTGTGCAATGAATTATATCGTTACTAACCGCCGAGGAAACACGCATAGACAGTGCTTCTACATAATTAATTCACAGAAAGAACAACCAGAAAGGGGACCCAAAACAATGTACAGTACTTATGTCAGTATGTTTGTGTCTTTTTTTATAGCGTTTCTATTCTAATTTGCAGTTAAGTGGAAAAAATAAATAGATTGAAATGCAAATCAAAGTATAAGTAGCAGAAGTGAACAAATCGGTTTTCCCTACCAGCAAATATTAATGATACACCAAATATAAAAGCAGACACTAACCCGCTATAACGCAGTCACCAATGACTAACTTAAATATCTAAAAGACTGATGAAAACATCAGTGAATTGTAGCTCTGACATGGACATGAGGGATATATATGACTGAAAAACAGCTGCGGGTAAAAAAAGTATATTGATCGCAAGTGCTCAGTTTGTGATCACATCTCGGTTTTGTTCTGTTGATATGTAATTTCAAATATTCGTAGCTTGAAACAGATGGAAATATGACTGCTATTAGTATGACTACTATGGCGAGGGCTGAAACGGAGCAGTGCTCATAAAATTGAGCGAAAGAAAAGGACAGCTGGGAAACATAACGTGCTTTGTATTTTTGTAGGAAACACAGTTTAGATCTTTTTAGGGTAAGAGGTGAGTGAGTTATTGTCGTCAATCACTGAATGTGTCAGGAATATCAAAACAAAACTAACTTAACTCTACTCCTTTAGCGCCTTCACAGAACTTGATCTAAGCTGGCATTTCTCCTCCTGGGTTTTAGGTTTTTGTTAAGGGAAAACATTCCACCATCCTGTACAAACTTAGGATAACGGGTATCAGATTTGAACAATCCATATGCACAACATTTTGGCTTGTTTCCCCTTACTCAAAAGCTTGACAAACCTTCTGTGCGTAGCTACAGTTGCTAAGCCACGATTGGTGTGTGGCAGTTTTTGGGTGTGGCTTAACGAAGGGTCAATTGTTCAGGAAAATTACATTTTAAACTGCATCAACTCTGATTATTAAACTATTATAGTTATTTTAAGGTTTATTTCCATTTAAGTTGAAAAACAGGCTGGCATTATGCAGATTTGTCACTAACCTTAACCTTATATTAAAGCTGAAATTTTATGTTGTGCAGCTCTAAATCTTATACTTAACCAGATCTAATATCAACAAATTGTAAATCCTATGAGAGCTCTAAATATGTGCTTTTTATGTTTGAGGAAGCATTATGTAGTTACAATTGATTAATTTGCGACAAGGTGGTCAAAAAAAAAAAAACTTGTCGCCTTTTTTTATGTAAACTAAATAATAATTTTAGGTAATAATCTAAAAAATGTATTTGTTCGAAATATTAAAAATTACAAAGCAAGTGGTAAATAACAAAGCCTTAAGTCAAGTGTTGACCAACTGTTTCTTTAGAACTCATTAATTGGTCATTAAAGGTGCAGAAGGTGATCTGCCAAAATGCTAACCGCTTAATATATTATCTTTGGATGTTGGGGAGGGACTGTGATTCACTGCGTCACAACAGCAGACAGACAACCCACTAGTTCATGTCATTCGCGAGTTAGTCAGTGTTTAGCCAGCGGCGTGCAGGAATTACATTTATTACTTAGCCACACTTACATGCTATTTCAGAGCGAATATTCAGAGTAGCATGGTAAACAGTATAGGGAGGCTGTCCTTGTTCAGAAATGACTCAATGTAATTATAAAAGCAGCTTCAGCTCAAAAAAGCAGGTTAGGCGGAATAGCGCTATTTACTGATGTTTTGTTGTTAAACTATATATAAATCTACATTATCGATGCTGTAAAAGGACCTTATGAAACTGAAAATAATCACATAAATTTTTCACCGGGAGATTTCAGTGGCTGAACAACATGTCGGTGCATATAATTCATTCAAAAGAGAACACAATCTAACATTAGCTTAGCATGACTAAAATCAGCCATGGTGTCGTCCTTCCTCCAGCGTGCTAAAGTAACTCCAATATTGATTCAGGTTTTTAAAAGTTTCAATTCAGCATTTGATTTCTCCCAGTCTGTCTTGTGACCGCGCAGCGCTTATGCGGACGGGCACGCGCGAATGGTGGATCTGCGTCAACAGATGCGCAGAAGTCTGAATCTACATTTGCTGACAGACAGTCTAAGCTGCTTATCGGAATTATGGGAGATGTCGATCTGACAATATTTAATTGGATGAACATTTTTTTAGTTTTATGCCTTATCCAGAATATAAAAATACATATAAACACATTTAAATCATCAACTGTAATCATTACTACTGGACTGTGAAGAGACTTTCAACCAGCGCAACAAAAAATGTTTCTAAAGACAATCACCCACTGCATCTTGAATGTCAAATTGTGGCCTTTGCTTGTAATGCAGCATACACATTTATTCTGTGATATCGGTCTCAAATTAGAACTTCTTCAGACCTGTGGCTATGGGATATATATATGTATATATATATGTATATATATGTGTATATATATATGTATATATATATATGTATATATATATATATATATATATATATATATATATATATATATATGTGTGTGTGTGTATATATATGTATGTATGTGCGCAGTACTTTTTATTGATAAACTCAAACAGCTATAAACCTTTTTTGTAGACATGTATAAGAAACTATAAAGTCTCTTCTTTAAAACACGACTTCTAATAACTTATAAATTACAATTATATCTTTTATTTCTTTTATTTTTGTGGCTTCAGTCATTCTTGGGGTAGTCTTTTAAATATGAAAGCATTAACAACTTGTATCGAAATATATACAGTATCGTTATCATTCAAAATGGAAAATAATTAACAAGATTGCATTTTTGCCATATCACCCAGCCCTAACTTTAAGCTTCTCCGTGGAATGAAGAGCAAAACGTGCATGTGGGATACTAAAATCCCAGACATTATTATGTAGTCATAGTTAACCTGTCTGTGTGAGCCTGGCCTACATAACAGTTAATATAATTGCAGTGGATAAAGATGGCAACCAGCAATCCAAAGCCACCCACATCAATAACCTGCACAGCATGGTGCACTTCTGTGAGAATGTGGCTGAATGCAGAAGGATCCAGCTGCTGGCTTACTTTGGGGAGCACACGTTTAACACGAGCTTCTGTAAAGAGCATCCTGAGGTCATCTGTGACAACTGTGCCAGACCAAACGTAAGACAATTATCAAATCATCTCTATTCTTGAAAACATCAGTTTGTGCAGATGCAATGCATTTAGCTGAACATTATTTAATCCCTCTGGTTATACAAATACTTGTATTTTAATGCATGAGATAACTCTGTAAGTGTGCACAGCTATTTTTTTTTAAACGAACACATTAATTGACTGTTTACTGTTGAACATGTTATTTTGAAATGTACCATTTTATTCCAGCTTCAGATACAAATGAAAATTTCATGCATCTTAATATTTGCCCTCAGAAATATAAATCCAGAAATGTGACCGATGACGTTAAGAAGATTGCGAGGTTTGTGCAGGACAACTGTGAGAAGGTTGGAAACAGATACGGCAAATCCGCCCAGCAGAACAGGCTCACTCTCAACATGCTGGTTGAAATATTTCTGGGTAAAAAAGTCTCACGGGATCCCACTGTCATAAATGATATAATGATATGAATATCCTTAGCTACATGCAGCGCTTGCAATTTAATGTCTGTCAGGAAAGTAAGAATATCTCTGTACGGCAGGCTCCAAAAGCGCTCGCATCCAGACTGGGATGTTCGGAGTTGGAGCAGCTTATTCCAAACACAACGCTGAGAGGCTCTTTAAGAAGCTGGTGCTGGATAATGTTCTGATGGAGGATCTGTACATCACTAACAGTGGCCAGGCTGTGGCCTATATCTCTGCAGGCCCTAAAGCTATGAGTGTACTGAATGGTTGCATGCAGGTGAGACTGTTACTATAGCACTACTGTACATTATTCTCTCTTGAGAAACTGCAAAATCTTAATTAATTTCTTTAACCCATTGCAGGTTGAATTTCATGAGACCGAGAGCGCATCCAGCATCAGAAAGCACAGAGCGTCTGTGTGTGAGAAGGTGTCTAAGAGAGAGGAGATGGTGAAAAAGTGTCTGGGTGAACTTAATGATCTATGCAAGAAGTTGGGCAAAGTCTTCGGCATTCATTACTACAATATCTTCTCCACCGCTACACTCAAAAAGATTGCTGGTAGGCCAATTTATTATTTGTTTATAATGATAGAAAATTTATATGTAGGGAATATACTTAATTATTTTTTTAATATATGGGTCAAAGATGGGATGGTTACTAGGCAGTATCGGGTATCGGATCGATACTTGGCTAAAATACTCCATATTGTACATGTTGGGCTGGACAATAATTCGATAATAATACATATCGCGAAAGATTTTTTTCAATAACGGTGATATGATTTTAAAACACATTTCCGGTATTTCGATATACATTTGCATACATATGTTTTATTATATATGTAAGATCTTATACTTTTCATTTGTCACTGAATGACTTTCCATGCTCAGAATGAGACTGATGACGTACATCACAGACAAGCTGCCACTGCCAGCGCTCAGAAGTTGGTTAAGCTGCTCCGTCGCAGAAAGCTACAAAATGCTACAAAATGAGTGCCCTGAATACAGATATAGGGGAACAAGCTTCCACAAGTAAGAATGCAGACAAATTAGTTGATGAGAGAGGAAAGACGAACGCAGTGGTGTGGAAGTTGTTCTGCTTTTTTAAGTTTCGATAAACTTAAAGTTTCGGTGCTCTGCAAAATGTGCGGTAGAGTGGTGCCGAGTCTGCTGACTAGCAGCGGAAACACATCAAATCTGTTCTGCCTGATAGAACATACTGAGAGTCAGAAGCAATGACAGAAGATGAGGCATCATAAAAGTTTGTCAACCTGTCGCCTTACCATCCACCTTCCCGACACCAAACACAGATGGCTATGAGGCGCCGTGTAGGATGTAAATAAAACTTTTTATTTTTTATCAACACATGCATATACACCTATAAATTACTCTCATATAAACCCATACTATGTTCAAAACATGTATGAAACTTGCGCATATATAAACTTGATGCATGCATATAACCACATACACATGCACAGAGATATAAACTCGATCCACGCATAAACGCCCAAATTAACACTCACACATGCAAACTCGCTGCATGCTGTTATAGCACTTGAGCAACCTTTCAAAAATAAATTGACAAACATATTTATCAGGAATCTGGTTATTGCAAAGGCATATCGGATGCACCGATATGGATTTTTTGTCCGATACCGATAACCGATAATTCTTAGACTTGAAGGCCGATAGCCGATATGTATAGGCCAATAATTATAAATATTTCAAAATGTTATAATTTTATACAGCAAACTTCATAAAAGCTGAAACTCAGCTCTTTTGAACTGAATAGCCTATACTCAAAGCAAAAAAGCTATGATTTTAAAATTGCAAGGTGATTATAGACCTAGATTCACGATTTCACATAAATCCGCATGCAAAAATACAATATTTCATTTTATTCATATCAAATTAACATGCCACTTGACTGTTGCATAAAATTAAAAAGGATAAAAAACAAAATGGGATTTAATCAACAAGCAATTTAAATATATTTTAAATAAGATGAAAATGAAAGAGCTAAGGACTAAAACCAGCTCAAATGTTCTTGAATAAAACGTGTTACAGTAAATGTACATGTGTACAAATATGTCATGTCCGAAAAAGCCTTTTTTTAGAGTTCTTGTGACCGTTTTGAGCTAGGTACAGCTAGATACAGAATGTATTATTTTAGAAAATGCGGCATAAATTCATCCTATTTAGCGTTTTAGGTTCTTTTGAACACGTAGCATCAGCGCTTCTGTGTTTTGTTCTTGCTGTCAATAGAGCAAAGTGATGAAAAGTGTATGAAAAACTGCTGTGAGGGCGCCAATTTGCCCTCGGAGTCAGATTTTGATACAAACCTGAGCGTTGTATCTCTGTCAGATCGATGTGTGTGTGCATGCGGTGACAGCTCTCATGCGCGCTCGTTATAATCAATATGAATATTTCGAACAAACTGAATACAATCTTACATCAACAACACATGGCAAGCAACGCGTTGATAATAACAAATAACCATATTCGATTACAAACAGCCTGACAAGTTTTTGTTTAGCAATTCACGTGTGCAGGACAGTTTGGTGTTTGTTTGTTTGTGTGTGCGTGTACACACGTGCGTGTGCATGCGTGTGTGTGCGTTCAAGTGCGCGTGTGCGCGTGTGTGCGTGTGCGCCCAAGAGGGAGAGACAGAAAAAAGGAGGGTTTTTTTCGCAATGAGAATTTCAGTGATGTTCCCTCTTTGGTGATTGGGCCAGGTTACATGTGTCCTCGTTTATTTACCGGCTGCAACTAAAAGAGAAGGTAGTTAACCACGAATCTAATGTTATTCGGCCCTAGAGTAATAAATGAATCTGACCTGCTATCTCTAACACAACAAAGAGACAGAGCAGTAAAGGTTTACATATGTAATATTTTTTCCTGAGGCGATTTAAAGCAAAATACACAATGACACTTACAATCAAACATATCTACAATGATGAGGAACATGGTTACTTACTGAGTTATTAACGCACAGCAATACCACATGAAGAAAGGACGAACTTTGAAGGAATAAACAGTGTGAGGATAGATCCATTATAGTGCACTGAACAAGTCTGAACATGTTCTGCCCACACAAGCGCAGCAAGCAGGTCTGTACAATTACGTAATTTATCGGCTTAAAGATATCGACCTAATTTAGACATTGGATCGATAACGATAATCTTAAAAATATAATCGATAAATATAATCTTATATATATATATATAATATATATAATAAATAAGATACATATTAGACATGCCACGGTTCTCAATATAATATTGAACCATACGTTACGACCTCCACGGTTCAATACGCGCTTTTGAATTGCGGTTTTCTCGGATTTGCGTTTAAATAATTCATGTGCGTTTTATATCTCCCCGAATTGACTGTTCGTGCCTGTAAGTCCATGAGCTGAGATGAGAAACTCCACCCCGCGAGAAAATATCCAATCACTATGCTCTAAAGTAAGAAGGCGATATTCAGTGATAGAGAGATATATCCAGCTGCAGAACCGCAGAACCACACACGTTTTAGGCACACACAATCTAGGACACACGATTTAGGCAGTCCATATATGGTAACTAACTAACTCTTTAGCATTATCGCCACCTATTGAATTACACAAATATGGTTTCCCATTTCAGTCATTATTATTATTATATCGTAACGATCATTTTAACATCTCTGCAGTTTCTGAACTCAAATTATGTAAATAAAAATAATTGTTTAAAGACACTTATGACTTTATTCATGTGTCCACACAAACAAAGAAAATATAACAGACTGTAATTGTAGGATTTAGTGTA